CCCAGGTGGCTCCCAAGATGCCCCCCCGGAGTCCAGGAGGCCCCCAGGAGGGTCCTTGGAGGCACCCGCGTCGCCCCAAGACGCTTGGGCTTGACGGCAGGAAGGCGAGGAGGACGACCACGAAGGGGGAAACCTCCGAGCCGCATCAGGATCCAAAACACTCGCGGCTGGCAATCAACATTTCGTGGCGTGTGACCTTTTGCACCTACAAAGGCAAAAGTATGCATTATCTCACGGTCGTTGCCCAGTTAATTGTACGAGAGCCCGTATTTCATCACACATGCGAAACATTATGGCGTGCGGGGACGAGCATTGCGCTGGCAGGCAAGCAATGAATCCGCCACCGTGAGCCACACCAGCGACGCTTAGAGGAACAGCGACCCCAAATAACGAATTCTGACAGCAAACATGTTCCCACGCCTAGGAGCTATGACAGGACATCCCCCAAGTTCGGAGCGCCACTGTCATCATCTCAGCGGTACGAGCTCGTCGGCGGCGTGGCCACAACAGCCAGCACACGACCCGCCCGAAAAACGCGTATGAGCCTCGCCGACACTAGGCTTTCTCGCAAGTCGCCCTCGGGGCCGTGGCAAGCGTCAAGGCTGACCACGAGGAGGGGCTCACTGGAACCCCTCCATAGACGCGCGAGGTAACCCTGGAGTCCTCGCTGTGCCTGTAGGGGCCCGTACACAATTGCAGCACGAGGTCGGGAAGGGAAGGAGACAGCTGGGAGCATCGAAAAAGAAAGGAGGAGGCGGGGGAGGGGGAGGGAGGGGGAGGGGGAGGGGGAGGGGGAGGGGGAGGGGGAGGAGGGGGAGAAGGACGAGGACTGTACTCATGCGATCGCAAGCATGGATCAAGGGGGCGTGGATTAGCGACGGGTCCCGTTGCCATGGGAAGTCGCAGATTTCCGCCGCCGAGCGAGGGGGCACCGACCGCATTTTTGGGGAGGGCACCTCCCCCGATCCCCGGGCTTGGCGACCGCGCACCAAGTCCACGGATCGCTAATCCATGTTTGCGCGCCCCCGATGTACGTTTCGATGGTGATCCTCTTGGAGGAGACGTCCACGAGCCCTCGTCGCCCCACCAGGGCGTCAGCTTGGTCGGAGGGCCTCGCTCGGGGCACCGTCAGGCCAGGGCCTGTAGCACGGACGCACCTCTGGCATGCGCAGAGCGGCGCACCGTCCTGGGGAACTGAGCTACAGCCCCCCCCTGCTCTCCAGAGGTCCCTGCAGGCATTTGGCGGCCAGACGGGGGCCTTACACAGCGAAACACCTAGAACGTCGATTCCCGACCCTCGAGCCTCAGCCTTCGATGCCCCGATCCTCGATTCTCGAGGTCCCCGATCCTCGAACCTCTGTTTCCGAAACTCCCTCCCCCCCACTAGGCTCACTAGGCGTCGCTCGCCTTCAGGTCGTCGACGCTCTCAGGGTCTCGATCTAGCGGCCAGAACTCTGCACCAAAACCCGCTTCCTTTCCTCGGGTGTTTGATGAGCCTGCAATCGGTATGGTAAGCATGTGTGCGCTCGGCGCAACATCGTGCCGAACATATTCGGTAGCAAATCATGGGAGCCTGGTGTACCCTTGCAATTCTGTCTTTAGCGTCGAGTAGCGTCGACTAGCGTCTTGGAGTCGATGAGATAGCGCCGATTTAGCGATTGAACGTCAATTTAGCGTCGATCAGCGTAGGTGGGATGATTGCGCGAGCAGTGGAGTCGACAACTTCAAGCTCGGCAAGGCGAATTGCACCACGTAGTTTGCACCATTGTATAGATTGAACAACCTAGACCGCACCACACATACTGCACAACGTAGATTGCCCACCATTGATTGTACATCGTCGATTGTTTCACATATGTTGCACAATGTATATTGCCCCGCATAAACACATGTAGATTGCTAGAAACACTTTGTTTGAAACCCTTGCTGCCTGAAATTCTGGTCGCATTCATCCGTGCCCTAGTCCCTGACATGTCCCGTTCTCGGTTTAGTGCCGGATCCAAACACGGGGTTTGCCTTATTTGTTATACAAGAAACCCTGATCTAACGAATGGGCCTGGTTGTCGATCTGGCGGCTATATTGTCGCCGTCGCCGCCTCGTCGCCGCCCATCGTTTGGGACTGCTTGTAGTCATGGCGGCTATGTTGTCGCCGTCGCCGCCCCGTTGCCGCCTAAGCTGCACAACGTGGATTGTCCCGCATATTTTGCACCCTGTAGGTCTCTCTCTAAAAAGGGATTAGGATCCATCCCTTCCCGCCCCCCCCCACACAGGTTATCCGTCCACCTTAAGAATGTGCAAGTCCTTCTTGCTTGTGCACCATCGCTCACTCTTAACATGGATACGTACAACCCCAGCCAAGCCAGTATCGACACCCCTCATCACCTTCGTCGAAGATAATATGTGCGCGTGCTCGTTTATAACAAATCACCCATTTGCAAGAATCCGTTTTGCGAAAAACGTTACACTGTCAACGCGCGGGTCGTCGCGCGAAATGTGTCAAGACCGTAGTTCCCAGAAGGATGTCAAAATCGAGCGCCCCGATAACATATGGACCATTGGTTATGCAACACGTGTTTTCGGAAAGGTCTGCGCACGCGTATTTGCGAATTCTGACGGAGACAATCGGTTGCCCAACATGTTCCTCAAATGAGATCAAGCGGGCCTCGCACGCGCACGTGTCGAAATCATTCGGGCGCATTTTCCCGCGTGTTGTGGGGCACGATTTTTGTCAAATAACACCATGCGGGCCATTCGTGCCCGCGGCCGTCGTCGTCGCCAATGTCGCCACCAGCATCGCTACTATCATCATCGTGTTTGCCGTTGTCGACGTCGCCGTGATACCGCGCCCGCCCCGTTCACCGACTCGCATTGGAGTGCTCGCGGGTCAGCGCGGCTTGCGAGACGCGCTTGGGAATCCCCAGCGGTCAGCGCCACCGCGTTCGCGTCGGTCGCGCCAGACTAGCTGGCCGTTCGTCGCGTGACTATGCGCGCTTGCGCGGCCGCAGCGATGCGCCAGCCATCGCCAAGTATTCATTGCGATCGCCGCCGGATGCGTTTTGCAAACCAAGTTGCGGGTGGATGGGTGGGATGATTGTGCCACCAGTAGAATGCGCCATTATGTCGCGCCGCATAGGGTGCACAACACATATTGCACCGCATATATTCCACTACGTACACAGCACAACATAGACCATGCTGTTCAGATTGCGCCACGTCGAATGCACCGCATAGAATGCGCATCACATCGATTGCGCCACATAGGTTGCATAACGAGGGTTGCACCGCATAAGTTGCGCACCATACTGATTGCACCACATATCCTGCAAACCATCGATGGGTCCACGTAGATGAGATACCATCATTTGCAAGAACACGCTGCTTGGAGCCCACGCTGGCCAACATGAGTAAGCCGCGTGATCCCGAATGCGACATTACGTGTGAGCAAGCTTGCCGACTGTATGTGTGTGCTTTGTTTAGTTGGCCTCTCGAGGTCAACAAACATGCTTCGCAAGTCGACCAGGGTGTTGTCCAGGCTGCGGAGAACGCCTCCGCTACGGAACGGCAGGCGTTGCGACAGACTTAACACGTGGCAGCATAGCCACAGCAAGAACGTTGCCCGCTGGGCGCGCGCGCCCGAGCGCGCGCCCCTCGCCGCGGCACGTCGCCGCACGCGCGCGCGCGCCGAGGGAAGCTTCGCGTGCTCCAGCCTGCCGGTACGACTCACGCCTTAGAGCCCGGGGCCGCCCGCACCAGCCAGGAGATGGGACAGAGATCGGCGGCGAGCGAAGGGGGAAAGTGAGAAGGAGAAGGCCTTCTCAGAAGGCGGCGGGGCTTCTCAGAAGCCCCCCGGACTCCTCCGAAGTCTCCTGTGCCTTGGAGGAAGGCCCAGAATACTTTTCGGGAGTCCGGAGGACTTCCGAGCCTTGTGAGAAGGCCCGCCCCCTATGGAGTGGGGACGATTTTTGGAGCATGTTTTGATGATGTTTGCTTTTCTGTTTCAGATATTCGGAAATTTGTCGTCCAAAACCCGCCTGCGGGAGGACTCGCCCGGCCGAGCCCTTGCCGCTTGGCGTGGGCCCGCGCGGCTCTCGCAGGCCCTCCGCCCCTCGGCGCCCTCGCCGCCCCCTGCCGGTGCGAGGCGGGCGCCCGGCAGGCCGAGGCGGGCGCGCGGCGCGGAGGCGCGCGGGGTTCCCGCGCGGGCGGCGAGCACGCCGCTGCGGGGGCCCCCTGCCCGCTCGCCGCGCCTCGGGCGCAGAGGGTCCCGTGCGGCGCGCGGCGCGCGGCGTGTCCCGGGCTGTCCTCGGCCTCGCCGCCGCGCCTCGCGGCTCAGGTCGGGCCTGTGCCCCATGCGGGCGGATTGTGGACGAAAAGTCAAGGATGCCAAACAACAAATCAAACAATGATTAACAGATTGTCAAAAGCTCGTCCCCGGATTATTTGCTGGGATCATTTTTGGATAGATCCCCTGCAGAGGGACAAGCCCGACTTGACTCGCGGCGCGGGAGGACGACCAGAGCTGCTCGGCCGCTGAGCAGCAGAGCCGCGCAGAACAGGAGTCGGTCTGGGGCCCCCCGAGGCGAGCGCCGTACCCGCGACGGACTGCTCTCCGCTGGCCCGCCCTCCTCTGCAAGCACCCTCCAGCCGGAAGGCGCGGCAGGTGCGCCGCGCCGCCTCATGCCGCGAGATGTCGCTGATGATGCGTCGCGGAATGTCACCACCCACCAGACCAGTCCAGCCCAACCCGAAGGCTTCAATTTGCACTCCATTTCCAGTGGGGGGGGGAACGGGGAACACTGAACAAACACATGGAACCCGTACCCCCCCCAACCCGAAATTCGGGTCAAATTCGGGTCTGCGGGTCGGGTTGGGGTGGTAGTCAGAATAGCACGCTTGTCTCCAGTGTCGCAGGGTGTAGCATCCCAATACCCCACGGCCATATCGGACATCACCACTGCAGGGCACTTGCACACGTAGCATTGGAATAGATGCTGGACGGCAGATGTCGCTAGGTGTGCCCTGGTTGCAGATGAGGTTGCGCCTCGTAGCCCCGCGTAAAGCGTGGTTTCACATACTATATCTGGGGAGGCTTGTCCAAAGGGGGGTTGTCCGGGTAGCGGTCCGGATCCCCGATGGGTGGTCCGAGGGGCTGTCCGGGGTAGGCCGTCCTGTCGTCATGAAGCAGCTTGGCTTGTCCGGGTTGTTTGGGAAGTTGTCTTGGGATGTTTGTGATGTAATTGTTCTTCCATTGAACATAGTAGCACACCACGACACGCGTGTCGTGGCATGGCTGAACAGATCGCAACACAGGGCAGCATAGCGTAACATGTTGAGCTGGCGGTTGAGGCGAACGGGTCAGCCCGATAGTCGTCCGGGGTGGACGGGCCTCTGGCGGGGTCGGGTCGAGCGTGCGCCTGCGAGTGTGATCGTTTCTGTTCGCGTCGTGTGCGATTATGTTGCGCCTTGCGCGTCTCGTCGGATGGGTGCGTGTCACGTCTTGCGTTTGCGCGTGTTGGTACGAATGTTGCGTTTGCGATGTGGTGGGTTGTTCGTAGGCGCGCTTGTGATTGGATCTGTTGGTCGGGTGCATCGGTGGTTTGGCGGTTTGCGCGCTTCGGCGTCGTCGATTGGAAGGTTGTCTGATTGGCGCGCTTGGTGGTTGAATGTTCGCGGGTTGGCGGATGGGTCGCTGATTGGTTGCGTTGGCGCTTTGGCACGTTGATGTGTTCACAATTCCACACAGGGTTGATTGACGACACACCCTCGTGATTCAATGTGGTGGTGAGGAGGAATGGGGAGAGGAGGAGGCAGGAGGAGGAGGAGGAGGAGGAGGAGGCGGGGGAAATGGAACCCAGTGAGCATAACAACGATGTAGTTGATGGTGTTGGTAGCAATGGCGAAGGTTAGCGATTTTAAAACCGAGTCCCCCGCAGTTGCGGATAAGAGTGAAGGGCCGCCAGGGCAGAGGGGCGCACATTGGTGCCCGCAAAGCACATTCAAAACAGCCCCCAACGCGGGTGCCGTTCTTGTTTTTGGAAACAATGTGGGGTGGCTCGGCCCGCCGCAGACGCCGATTTGGTTGACACAGTGTCGCGGGTGGGTCGCGGCGCGGGTTGGCCGTGAGGGCGTCTCAGCGTTGATGGGTGTTGTGTGGATCGCGAGCGGGTCGCGGGTGGGTCGCGGCGCTGGCCTGTCGTTGTCAGCTGGCGCTGTCCCCGTCCTGTCGCCGTAAGCCGTCGATCCATGGACTTTCCTTGGGGCGCTTTCTGACCTGGATTTTGGAGCGGATCCAGCCGTGGCGACGAGAGTTCGTTCAGAGGCCCAACTAGGGCGGAAATCGTCAAACGGAAATCGCGCGTCGCCGTTGACGTCGCCTTCCTCGTCGTCGCCGTCGCCGTCGCCGTCGCCGTCGCAGCCGTCACCGCCGCCGTCGCTGTCGTGTTCTACGTCTCCACTGCCGCTGCCGCCGTTGTCGTCCTCGTCCTCATCGTCTCCGTCGTCGCAGTCGCCGACGCCGCCACGCCGTCGCCGCCGTGGACGTTGCCGGCCTGCATCCGCGTCGAGAGGTCGCCAGCTGGCGCTGTCCCCACCGCCGGGGGTACCGAAGGCGCGCGCTGGCGAGACTGGGGCAGCCGGCAGGCGCTTGCGCCCGCGAGTCCACGACAGCGAGTGACGACGGACGGCGATGATTGTCGACCGACGACGACGACGACGCCCGTCGGATGACGACGACGACGACCAAAGGCAGACGACTGACGACCGACAACTGACGACGACGAGGACGAGGGACGACGACTACGACGGCGGCGGCGTCGGCGGCGTCATCGAGCAGGCCTGGTTGCTCGGTGCTCTCGTCATCCTCTTCCTCCTCCTCCTTGAGATCGCGCCATCATCATCGTCGTCATCATCATCACCAGCATCATCCTCCTCATCATCATCATCATCAGCAGCAGCAGCAGCATCATCATACCACCTTTCCCCTCCGTCTTTCATCATTCTCCTCACACCTTCCGCACAACCCCCGACCTAGCCTCCGCATGGTCCCTTCCTCGTTTGACATTGGCATTGTTTGTCTCTGGGCTTCAACCTTGTGGGCCCCACCCCCTTCACTTCCCGCCCCGAACGGACCCCGACCCTCCTGATTCATCTTCGTTCACTCGAGCTTGAACTAGGGAACGGAAAGCAACAGGAGAAAAGCCAAGACACTGTGCGGCATCGCGGGAAAATGCTGGGAGTGCATTCGGCGCTCACGCTCTCAGTGCCCCTGGCCGTGCTCAGACCCAGAGGCCCGCAAGAGGGGCAGCATGCCGCGAGAATCAATGTCCCCAGGGGTGGGGTCCGGAGTCCTGGGGGCAGACTTGCTACAAATCTGGGCGCAGCAAGTTACTGGGCGAAGAACGGTATAAATCGAGTAGGGGATCGATTACAGTATAGATTTATCGCCCAAATGGTGTTCTCGTCGAATATACGAACAATGCATGCGTACAATGCCCGTCGATCTACGAACATTGTGCGCATGTCTCGTAGATCCGACGAACAAATCAACTCTGCGGTGAATGCATTCTGTAGTCGGCCCCCGACTTGAATAACATAAACGGTTCCTCCGTCGGGGACGCCTGCCCCCCGGGCGGCTGGAAAGTGTCTGCCCCTACGGTGGCACGTCGCGGTATAAATGTTTCAACCGCCTGTGGGGCAGGCGTTCCCAACGGAGAAACAGTTTATGCTATACCGTTTTCCCCCCGCTAACAGAACAACAGCCACAACCACGTGGATTGTCCTCGGGGGTTCGTTCCTGGGGGGGAGAACCCCACCGACCTCGGCGTGAGCACTTTGATTGTGGTTGTGGTCGTTTGGGCCGCCCTGGGATGTCACATCGAGCACAACCAGTACTGAGCTGGCCTCGGTGCTCTGACAATCTTTTGGCACGCGCAGGACACCTCCCCGGGTGTGTTCTCGTTGTGCCCGTGGTCGCTCGCTGCCCCCCGCACGGGACGGAGGCGAGAGCCCAGGCGCCGACTGTCGCGCGCTCGCGCGCGAGAGCCTGCGGCGCGGCGCCCGCAGGGACTCGGTGGTGGTCAAGAGCGGCTACTTCCAGGCCCGGCGCGCGGCCGGGAGGCCTCCTATTTGGCGCTCTGTCATCGGGGGCCTCCCCTCTCAGAGTTGAATCCTGCCCCCTGCATCTCTCTCTCTCTTCTTCCCTCCTTCTTCCTGGCATCCGTCGGGCAGGATTCTGTGGTGTGGTTTGCTTTTGGGGCCCGTTGCAGGCCCTGGAGCTGTCAGGAATCGACCGCGGGGCGGGAAACCGGTCAGGTGGGACTCCAGGGCCGGTCCGGGAGCCGATTCTGAAGGGACTTGGACGGGAGAGGGGAGCAGGTCTGGTCGTAGCGGCCGTGTCACCCACCCTGGTGGCCCGAACGCACTGGTAAACTACAGAAAAAAGTGTTGCCAGCGTGTACCCCAGACAGTGGGCTCTTGCATTTTCTAGGATGTTTGATGTCGCTATTGTCGTATGGTGCCCAGTGTTGATGTATGCTATTGGTCTAGGTTTGTGGTATATCTAATGGCCTTCGGTTCATCCCGCCACCGCGCCTGTGTTGTAGGTCAGCGTTCTGACGGATACTTCTGGGGGTTTCGTCAGAGCGCTCTCGGGCGCCTCTTGGGGGCAGTTTGGAGGCATCTTGGGAGCCTCTTGGGGGCCTCTTGGGGGCCTCTTAGGGCCTCTTGGGGGCATCTTGGGGCCTCTTAGAAGCGTCTTGGGCGCCTTTTGGGGCCTCCTGGGGGCCCCTCGGGGCCGAGGGCTCGACATGTCCGTTCGGGTTCCCCATCTGGGCCCCCACGTGGAGCCGTTTTTGGATCCTCTTGGGCCATCTTGGGCGCCTCTTGGGCCATCTTGGGGCCCTCTTGGGCCGTCTTGAGGGCCTCTTGAGGCCTCTGGGGCCATCTTAGGGTGATCTTTGGAGGCTTCTTGGGCCGTCTTGGAGCGTCGTGATGCCGAAAAGGCTGGAACGCCCAAATCCAACAACAAAAACCCAAGGGAATACCTGATGTTTACTTCTTGGTGCACTCTTAGGAGGCTGCTTTGGGCGTCTTGGGGCGATCGTTCGGAGACTCGGGTCCCTCTTGGACCGTCTCAGGGCCTTTGGGAGCTCTCTGGGCTCGTGTTGACGCCCTCCCATGCCCGAATCATTCGTGCGGGGAGATCTAGGTGGGGCAAACGATGTGGTGCAACCAGTTTGGTACACTCTACGGTGGTCAATCCACTCTGCTGAACTTGAAGTCGTCATCTCCACTGCTCGCGCAAACACCCCACCCACCCACCCGCAACTTGGTTTGCAAAACCTCTTAAGACCGACTACGACGACACCGACGACAACGACTAGGACGACACCGACGACGTCTCCGACGACTTCGACGACGACAACGACGCCGACGCCGACGACGACGACGACGCCAACGAAGGCGACGACGAGGGAGGAGGAAGGACGACGACGGCGACAACGACGACAACGACGACAACGACGAGGGAGGAGGGAGGACGGCGACGACGCGAACGACGACGAAGGAGGAAGGACGGCGACGCCGACGACGACAACGACGAGGGAGGAGGGAAGACGACGACGACAACGACGACGACGACGGTGACGAAATAGGAGGGACGACGACGAGACGCCGACGACGGACGACGACGACGACGTGGGAGGAGGAGGAAGGGCGACCACGGCGACAACGACGACGGAAACGACCACGACGCCAAAGAGGACGACGACGACGAACACGAGAAAAGACAGACGACGACGTAGGCGACGACGACGACGACGACGACGACGCGGGAGGAGGGAGGACGGCGACGACGACGACGACGACGCAACAGCGCGCGCGCGCACGCTTTTGTTGAAAATCCGTGTTGCAAAACCTTGTGTTTTTGTAGGTTTTTTGGAGGCACGATTTTGAAATCCTTCCGAAACCGATGGGTTTTGAAGGTTTTCGGCATACGCCCGCGACGACGCGCGCGTCTGCACTTCGTCCCATTTTTGCCGAGGATTCTCGCGGCGGCACACGCGCAAGGGCGTTCGACAGATTTCGACATGCGCGCGCGAAGCCCGTGTGGTAGCATTTTGTGAAAATCTTGAAAACACCTATGGTTTTCTTAAGATTTCGCAAGAGCTCGCGCGGAAGCTTTTTTAGCAAATCGGTGTTGCGAAACCATGTGTTTTTGTATGTTTGTTTTGGGAACTCGATTGCGAAATTCTTCCGGCACCGACGGTTTTTGAAGGATTTCGGCATGCGCGCGCGACGACGCCCGCGTGTGCACTTCGTCCCATTTGTTGCAAGGCATTCGTTTTAAAAAGTGTTATGTTAGAACAAAAGATGTCACCGCATAGTGTTTTTCACCAGGGAACCTCAGGGGAGGAACCTGGCCTGCAAGGGATGGTACGATCTCATATTTAGGATGGACGAGTGTGCAGAACATATATGAAATCATACTAGCCCAGGGGGAAGCGATAAGTCCGGGGGGGGCGGTCGAGTCTATTCTTTTTCTAGAAAGGAGAATACAGGTTGCGCAACTTCTGTGGTGGATTGTGTGCGGTGCCATCTATGGTGTGCATGATACGGTGTCAAATATATGTTTTGAAACCTGTGCTGTGCAAGCTCTGTTGTGCAATTCGTATGGTATCATTCACCTTGCCGAATTTCAACAAGTTGTCAACTCCGCTGCTCGCGCAATCATCCCAACCACCCGCCCGCAATTTGGTTTGCAAACCCATATGGGCGGCGATTACGATGACTGCTCGGCGCTGGCTGGCGCGTCGGCACGGCAACGCTAGCGCGCAGGCTCGCGCACAGTGCGGCCAGTTAGTCTGGCGAGACCGACGCGGCCGCGGTGGCGCTGACCGCTGGGGCCTTCCCAGCGCGTCTCGCAAGCCGCGCTGACGCCCTGGGAGCCGGTGACTCGGCGGGACGCGGTATCATGGCGACGTCGACAAGAGCAGGCACGATGATGATTGTAGCGTTGTTGGTGACGACGGGAACGATGACGATGACGACGGCAAGGCCAATGACGGTGCCGTTGCTGATCACGCCGATGACGATGATGATGTCCGCGCGTCGGTGATGCGGGTTGTTCGGGGGAACGTCTTGGGCCTCCCTGGGCTTCTCCCCGGACGTTTCGGAGGCCCCTTAGGGGCCTGTTTGGCCCCCTGGGGGGCCTTTCGGGGCTTTTCCAGGCTTCGACGACATGTCCTGGATTCTGTTGGGAACTGTCAGAAGAGTCGTGGGGCCTCTTGGAGGCATCCTAAGGGCATCTTCGGGGGCCTCTATTGCCTCTTGGAGATATTGGGGGCCTTTTTCGCGTTTTTGGTTCCTCCTAAGGCATATTGGGGGCATCTCGGGGCCCTCTTGAGAGCTACCGCGTCGCATTTGGACGATGTTGGGTGCCCAGGACGGAAAAAGCAAGGGTGCTAAACATGTTTTTGGTTCATGGGAATTTGAGAGGTGTTGCTCGTGGAGGCCCTGTCGCGGGGCCTCCGAAGGCCCTCTCAGGCGTATCTGGAGCCTCGTGGGGCAATATTGAGGCATCTTGGGCGCTTGTCCGGGCCATCGTGAAGGTTGCTGCTTCTTGATGTGGACTCATGAGCCCTCTTGGACGGAGCTGATTTGGGGTCTCGTGGGGTGCTCCTGGCGCGACCTTGAGGCAACTGGAAATCGCCCCCAGGTGTTTCGGCATGTTTGAGCGGACCTTGCCAGGACCTTCCTGGGACCTTGCGGTGACCTCGCCAGGGGTCGGCCGAGGTACGTTTCGTCTGGGGAACCCCTCGGGGCCGCCCCGCGCGCGCGAATCATGATATACATATATTCCGTGAACCAGTTACCGGAAATCTTAGCACGTCTCTGGCCCGTTGGGCCGGCGAATTTGACAGGGATCGTGCCTGCCCCCAGCACGCACGCAAGGGCGTTCGAATGATTCCGACATGCGCGCGCGAAAAGCCCGCTTCGTCGAATTTGATGAGCACGTGAGAATAAAGGTTGGTCCACAATTCGTAAGAGCGCGCGCGCTGACCTTTTTGAAAAGTCAGGTTGTAAAACCATGTGTTTGTATTTGGTTTCCGGACGATCGATTTTGAAATCCCTGCGGAACCTAAGATTCCCCAAGGATTTAGGCAAGCGCGAGAAGCGACGCGTGCGTGTGCATTTCGTCGCGATTGTTTTGACGCGTGTTTTTTTCTACGAAAATGGACGACTTCTGATCAACGAGTGTGCGCGCGTAGGTATGGGTGGTATGAATTCGTATTTCGGACGAGCGATGGGGCAGAACCGTATGTACATTGCACATCCCCAGAGCGAATCGATAATCCTGGCAGGGGGGCGGATGGTAGGTCTCAGTTCTCTTCTGGCAAGTGGAAAGGCGAATCAATGACCGGCAGCCGCGCCCAGACGACGGGCGGCGACGAGGCGGCCACGGGGCGGCGACGGCGAGCACGAAGCCGCCGGAGTGGCAGCCAGGCCCAGACGACGGGTGGCGACGAGGCGGCGACGGGGCAGCTACGGCGAGCACGCTGCCGCCCCACTGGCAGCCAGGGTCAGTTTATTGGTTCGAACACAAGCAAGACATTTTAAGTCTAAGCATCGTTTGTGGAATATGCTGCGTGGAGTTATAGATTGTTCGTTATGCATGTAATCTCTATATATATATATATACATGCTCTTCTTTGGTATGATACTTACGTGTGCTCGGTATGGCGTCATTCGTCGAAGAAGCAAGGTGCGACCCTCAGGGACCCACGGGATCCCACCCGGATCCTTGTGGCCTGGCGGCCGCGGTACGCAGGGTGTGCGAGGCGGGTCAGACGTTGTTGTTTGTGGGAAACGCATCGTTCGAACCTCGACGACAACAATTGTGATGGAGACGACAGTCGACGCTCGACCACGACAGTCGACGACGACGACGACGACGACGACGACGACAGACGACAGACGACAGACGACGACGACGACGCTGACGACGACGACGACGACGACGACGACGACGACGACGGCGAAACGACGGAAGATGGCGACGACGGTCGACGACGACGACGATCGGGGACGACGGCGAATCGACGGGTGATGCCGACGACGGCAACGGTGACGACGACGACGGCGACGACGACGACGACGACGACGACGACGACGACGACACCGACGACGACGGCGTCGAGGAGCCGCACCGGTGGCGGCGATGCCTGCGCTGCCCCCCCCTGCAGCTGCGTGCCCCTCCGGGCCTGTACGAGCTGGTCCTGCGCGGCAAGGGTAAGCAGGAGGACCCCCTCCCACCGACTGCGTTCCAGCACGCCGACGCTCAAGCGTCAATGTCATGGATGGCATGGATCGTGGCCCCCCCTTCGGCGGATCCACGCCCTCTGCGAGCAGTTACGTTTGCGAGCAGTGGATCGCGCTTGTCTACCCTCGCCGCCTCTCCCCTCCCCGAGTGCTGAGCAGCCCTGACCCTGAGCCGAAGGCGAAAGAACCGCATACACAGGTCCGCACGGATCTCTTGGATCGGCGCCTGGGCCACCCTGGCGGCGCCGCGCGCTCTGCGCGCCAGGGGGGGCGGGGGGGCAGGCGCCGATCCGCACGGACTTCCGAAAGTCTGGGAGCGTGCAGTTGTTTGTTCCTCTGCTGCGGTGGGGGCGTTCGTTAAGGAATGTGCCCATGAGGCTTCAGACCCTGGATGGTTGCTTATCTGATGAGGGTGGCGGTGATATCCATGGCCAAGCCTCAGTTGGTGTTTCACCAGCTTCCAGACCCTGGATTCCCCATCAATGATTCCTTATCCAATGCCATCACGGTATTTCTCCTCCGCTACCCCCTCAAGCTGCTCTCAAGGTCTCTCATCGTAGCCAGCGGAGTCGCATTGTACATAGCTACGTAGTCCTTCCTGCCTCCCAGTCCACCGTCTCCTTCTTCCCACCGACCGCCGAATGAAGAAATTGTTGTCGCTTCGCGAATCCCCACCAGCCCATCCAGAAACGATGCCCAGAGGAATTGCCTCGATCAGAGAAGTGGGCAGCACACAGAGGAAGCCATTATGAGACATCTTGGGATATCTTGAGCCATCTTGGAGGTCATTTTGGGCTCTCCCAGACGCTCTTGGAGTCATCTTAATCCGTGCCCCCCCCCAAGAGGCCTCCATGTGGCTAAAACCTGTGTAGAATCAATGATTAGGCATTCTCGCCGAGGCCTCTTGGAGCATCTTGGGTGCATCTGGGGGGGCTCTTGGGGCCTCTTGGGGGTCTCTTGGGGGCCTCCGGGGGGCCTCTTGGGGGCCTCTTGGGGCCATTTTGGGGCCATCTTGGGACCTCTTGGGGCTTCCTGGGCGCTTCTTGGGGCCATCTTGGAGGAGATCGATCAAACAAGAGGGGGGGTTTAATTAGCGTCCCCCCTCGGAAGCCCCTAAAATCGCCTCTTGGACCCCTCTTGGAACGCTCTTGGAGTGCTCTTGGGCGCTCTTGGGGCCGTCTTGGGGCTCTTTTGGGGCTCTCTTGGGGCCCTCTTGGGCCATCTTGGAACCATCTCCAGGCCTCGGATGGCCATCGGAAGCGAAAAGGCGAGAAAGCAAAAATCATTGATTTTCCTTAGGTTTTGGGACGATTTTGGCCTCTTCGGGGCCTCCTTGGGGAGCTGTTTGGCCACTTGGAGTTATCTTGGGGCCGTCTTTGGGCTTCTTGGAACCATCTTAGGAGCCATCTCGAGCGATCTTGCGCTATCTTGAGCCATCTTGGAGCTCATCTTGGGTTCTCTGAGGCGCTCTTGGAGCCGTCTTGGGCCATCTGGGACGCTCTAACTACCCGCGGCCCCCCCCGTCCAGGTCCAGGGGAGGGGGTAGGGGGAGGGGTAAACCCCTCCCCAAGGGGGAAGAGGGAGGGGTGGAAGAGGATCTGCTCTAGACCACCTACGCCCAGAGGGCTGGTGGGACTGTTCCGTCAGGGCTGACCATTTTTTCTCCAATCGACTTGCGGGGATCAAGCAAGCCAGGTAAATCGAGGCAAACTCAGATACAACGGTGCAGATCAATATGAGGCACTCCAGAACAGGGCCACACCTTCGACGATCGAGGGAGTTGCCACGTTTTCCTCGGCGGGGGGCGGCGGAAGGGCGGTGGAGGTAAAACGAGGGCGCCTCCGCCAGCGCGAGCCGGCGGAAGCTTGCAGAAGAAACATATGCGCCCTCCAGACGTAGAAGATGCGCCCCAAAGATGAGCCCCCAAAAGATGCGGGTTCAGGGCTTCTGGAATCGGCCGTGTGAGTCGGTGGAATTCCAAATATTCTTAAGCTTACGCCACACCGCCGACCCGTCTGGGGATTGGCAGTTGTGGCGCGTTGCTCCTGAGGGCTTCGTGGGCGCCCTTTAGGGACTTCTCGACGATCTTTTGATTCTTGAATGGCCTTCGGCACGTCGGCCATATGAATCGAGGTCGCTTCAATTCGGGCATGTCCCTCTACATGAGGGATATTCAAAAATAGCCAAACATTAGTATGGGGACGATGTTTGCACTATGTTTGACCAGTTTTGAATGTGTTTTCTTTTATGTTTTGATGTTTATTCGAGAATCCGCCTGCAGGACGACATGCCCGACCTAAAGTTAATTCCAAAGATCTCCAGGGAAGTCCAGGGCAGATCGTGGACGGCCCCAGCGCGAGTCGAGGGGCAGCAGGAGGCGTGCTAGGCCCTTGGAGGCACTGGGAGGGGCCAGCGGCAACATCCCCCCGGGCGGAAGCGAAGCTGCTGGAGAGGAGTGCCGGCCCCAGCCCTTCGCCGAGTGCTTCTTGAGCGATACGCAAGAAAGGCTCGAACATCGAGCCTTCGAGCGAGTTGCCGAAATGGTGGCTGGTGTTGGAACGAATGTGCAAAAAACAATATGGATCATCAAATGGTGAAGTCAGGGAACCGAAGCGCCAGTCCTTAATCCCAAACGGTGGTTAGCGGGACGAGGGTCCTGCGCGGACCAATGCATGAGCGGCAAAGCACCATGTAGATTATGCAATGGTGGTGAGGCTTGTTCGGGCATTTCTCATAATAACCAATCACAGTATTATAATCCTGTTGGAGGAGACCTAAGTTAGTAGGGCCAGAGAAATCAGGGGCAGTCTTTTGTTTCAGCAGGTGGATCGGACCAAACCGCTCAGATGTATGATATCGGATGCGAGGATGGGGACCTAAGTGAGGCCACGTCTTCATCGTGTTATTAGGGCTCGGGTTCCTTCCGTTCTTGATGATTGAGCTCGGGGGACAGGTAATAGCATGAACATGATACACCTTCGGAGGTTTGCGCAGATGTCTCGAATCGCCGTTGGACCCCTCTCCGCGGCGCGCGGAGCGTGCCAGGGACCTGCGAAAGCTTATATGAATGCCACCATGCGTTCCCCGATGAGCAGCCCTGGTCCTGAGATCCGATCCTTGTCACTGTTTCGCTATGGTCCTCCTCGCCCGGCTTCGGTTCCGGGGCCATCGCGGATGGGTCAGGCTCGAGACATGTCGCAGAAAGATGGGGCCCAGAGCACTGGTTGTGGTGTCCTGCGACGCTGCATGTGTTTTCGCGGCATGAGATTTCATGGAATGTACGCGATGGTCCACCTGAGTCCTTGTCAGAAGATAGATCAGGAGGCTATTTTGGTTAGGGTCTGGCGATAAGCCGGGTTAACGGGCTTGCCCTCCTCTCCCGCTCACCCCCCAGGATAACCTAACCTTGTCGGTTGTGCAGGTCCTGGGTGGGGGGGGGCGCGTGCATATGCAGGGCTTCCCACAGCGCGAAGGGCTGGCCCCCTTCTCGGCTGGCCCCCTTCTCCCCCCCCCGGATAACCCGGTTATCGCCGATTCAAAAAAACGGTCTCCAGGGTGATCCCCGAAGGTTTCCGGAGAAAACATGAGGGGGACCCCCATCGTTATTTCTCCCTCCGAGTGCTGCCTCCCGGTGCTTGCAGGTTTGACCCGATCCCGGCTCTGTACCATTGGCCCGGTGGCGGCCGCAAGCAGCACGCAGCCGCCAGCAGCAGGCAGTGTTTGCACGTACGCTCCAGTCGTGCCGCGGTTGCATCGGCAGCGAAGGTATGCTGAAAAAGCTCTCCCCGATCGCCGTCGTCGTCCCTCCTCGATCGCCGTTGTCGTCCATCTTCGATCGTCGGCGCCGTCTCGGTCCGTAGTCGCGGTGGTCGGCGTCGTCATCCCTCGTCGTCGTAGTAGTCGGCGTCGGAGAACCCCCTCTTCGATCGTCCCCGTCTCCCCTCGGTCATCGACGTCGTAGTCGTGGTCGGCGTAGGCTGGGAGCCGTCGACCACGCTATCCCTCGAAGTTCGAGGACCGAGGTCCTCGACGCGCCGAGAAGCCTCTCGTCGCCGCGGCTGGATCCGCCTCGGAGCAGCTCTGGCCAGAACGCTCCCCTGGACAGGACGCACATCGCCTCTTCCTCCCTCCAGCAAGGGGGGAGGGAGAGATGGAGGATGAGTAGGATGGAGAGGAAACGGAGGACGAGGAGAACGAGGAGGAGGAGGAGGAAGAAGGGGGAAGCAGGAGGGGGACGAGGATTCTCCACCTCATTACGCCTGTTCCTCCTCCTCCTCCTCCTCCTCCTCCTCCTCCTCCTTCTCCTCCTCTTCCTCTCTCTCCTCTCCTCCTCCTCCTCCTCCTCCCTCCTCCTCCTCCTCCTCTCCTCCTTTTTCCTCCTCCTCTCCTCCTCCTCTTTCCTCCTCCTCCTCCTCCTCCTCCTCCTCTCGTTCCCCCTCCTCCTCCTCCTCCTCCTCCTCCTCTCCTCCTCCCTTCTCCTCCTCTTCCTCCATCTCCTCCTCATCCTCCTCCTCTGCTCCTCCCTCCTCACCTCCTCCTCCTCCTCCTCCTCCACCTCCTCCTCCTCCTCCTCCTCCTCCTCCTCCTCCCTCTCGAGGGTGGGGGCCTGGCACCTGCTCTCATGGTGTCAGTGCCACTTCTCGGGGCACGCAGTCAGAGTCGACTGCATGCGGCGACTGGGGGCAGCTAAACCGGCTCGCGCCTTTTTGAACCAGCCATGTGGCAGTTTGCCCGTGGCAGCGGCGCTAGCCACGCTCCGTGACCTGGAGATGGGTACCAGGCACGGGGCAATGCGGATTTGGTTGGGAGGCGGGGCCATGTGGCCCGGAAGTCCCATGGTGACCTTGAGCCCGCCCACCTGGGGCTGGGGCTGCTAGTCGGGAAGTACCTCGCAGTTACGAGGTGAACCGACTGCCCCCTACGCACCACGCCCTTTCGGCCGGGGGCAAGTCGCTGGGCGACGAGGTAGCTGCCTATCCCCCGTTCGTCGGTGCGCGCGCCTGCGGGCCCGCCTCCTCCAGTGAGGGGAAGGCCAGAGTTGCCCGTTGCGTGCCCTTGCGGCCCGCCTGCGCGCGGTGTGCACCGCGTTCTTCCTGGACCCATGAACTTTTCTCCTCCTCCTCCTCCTCCTTCTCCTCCTCCTCCTCCTCCTCCTCCTCCTCCTCCTCCTCTTGCTCCGGTTCCTTCTCCTCCTCCTCCTCCTCCGCCTCCTCTTTCGCCGTCTCTTCTTCCTCCCGCTCCTTCTCCGTCTCTTCCTCCTCCCCCCTCCTATTCCTCCTCCTCCTCCTCCTCCTCCTCCTCCTCCTTTTCCTCCTCCTCCTCCTCCTCCTCCTCCTCCTTTTCCTCCTCCTACTTTTTCCTCCTCCTCCTCCTTCTCCTTCTCCTCCTCCTCCCTCCTCCTCCTTCTCTCCTCTTCCTCCTCCTCCTCCTCCTCCTCCTCCTCCTCCTCCTCCTCCTCGCCCTCTTATCCTCATCCTCTTCCTCCTCCTCCTCCTCCCCTTCTCCTCCCCTCGTCCTCCTCCTCCTCCTCCTCCTTCTCTTCTCCTCCTCCTCCTCCTCCTTCTCCTTCCTCCTCCTCCTCCGCCTCCTCCTCCCCCTCCTCCTCCTCGTCGTCGTCCTCCTCCTTCTCCTTCTTCTCCTCCTCCTCCTCCTCCCTCCCTCTCCGCCTCCTCCTCCCCCTCCTCCTCCTCCTGCTCCTGCTCCTGCTCCTCCCTTTCTTCCTCTCCTCCTCCTTTCCGTCCCCCCCTCCTCCTCCTCCTCCTCCTCCTCCTCTCCTCCTCCTCCTCCTCCTCCTCCTCCTCCCTCCTCATCATCATCATCATCATCATCATCATCATCATCATCATCATCATCATCATCATCATCATCATCATCATCCTGCTCCTCGTCCTCCGTCTCGTTCTCCTCCTCCTGCTCCTCCTTCTGCTTCTCCTTCTGCTCCTCCTCCTCCTCCCTTTACTCCTCCTCCTCTTCCTCTTCCTTTTCCTCATCCTCATCATCATCATCATCATCATCATCATCAGCATCATCATCATCATCATCATCCTCATCATCCTTCATCATCATCACCAGCATCATCATCATCATCATCAGCAGCATCATCATCCTCCTGCCCCTCCTCAACCTCCTCATCATCATCCTCTTCCTCCTCCTCCTCTGCCTCCTCCTCTTCCTCCTCCTCCTCCTCCTCCTCCTCCTCCTGTTCCTGCCACTCAATTCACCATCTCCAAACATCTGAGGAGCTTGTTTGTTCAATCCGCGGCCCCAGAGGTCCGGCCCCTTTCCCGGCGTCAACTTTTTGCCCCGGATTAATGTTTGATGCTTGGTCTTGGGGCCGGGCAACGGGACCCGGAGGCTGGAATCGAAGACAAACGCCCGTCTTGTAACATTCACATCGTCGGAGATATCGGTTTCCATCTTCCCAGCGACCGCCGAAGAAGGGACCCAGAAGAGCCCGGCAAGGGCCCGCTTTCTATCCCCTGGCGAGAACGGCCGTTGCCGGGGGCCGCAGTAACGTTACGATTTGCGCCAGCGCAGTCTGGGAATTAGCTACCACTAGCAATTCCCAGACGGCGAGAACTGCGACATTGACCAGGAGGAGGAGGAGGAGGAGGAGGAGGAGGAGGAGGAGGAGGAGGAGGAGGAAAAGGAGGAGGAGGAGGAAGAGGAGGAGGAGGAGACGGACGAGACGGAGAAGACGGAGGAGACGGAATAGGAGGAGGGGGAGGAGGAGCAGGAGGAGGAGGAGGAGGGAGAGGGGGAGGAGGAGGCGGGGAGCATCCCCGGGAACGACCGATGCCGCGAGTCGTAAAGAGACGCGCTCCGACAGACCCCTCCCCCCTGGCGGGTCGCCGCTGCTGGCGAGGAGCGCCTGCTGAGCCCCTCCGGCGCGGTGGCGCTCGTAGACCTCGTCGGCAGGAGCAGACCGCTGCAGGCCCCGCCTGCGCGCTCGAGCGCGCGCCGTGCACGGCACGGCTCGGGAGGAGGCAGGGCCGTTGCGACACCTCCGAGCCGATTCGGTGTCGGTGGCTTCCGATTCCGATCCGACTCGACTTGGGGTTCCGATCTGGATGCCGACTTCTCCATGGAGGCCTGCACTGGCCTGCCAGTCTCCGCTGACTCTGCCCGCCGATTTTTCCGCCGATTCGACCTCTGTCGACTCGGCTGCCGGTTCCCGCCGTTCTGGTCCATGTCGATCGCCGACCCGACGTATCGATTCGATCCTGGGCTCTCGTGGAGGAGGTCTGCGGAGGGTCCGGGAGGGCTCCCGTGCGGCGAGGCATTCTCGCCGCCGCGGTCAGACCGCGGCTCGGAGATCATGCCACGGTGCTGGAGAGTGCCCCTCGAGCGGACGGTCGCCGGGGTCCGTTTCGTCCGTCTTGCCAGTCGTTTTCGTCCCCGCTTCTATCTCTGTGTCTCTCTGTCTCTCCTCCCTCCTCCTCCTCCTCCTCCTCCTCCTCCTCCTCCTCCTCCTCCTCCTCCTCCTCCTCCTCATCCTCCTCCCTCCTCCTCCTCCTCCTCCTTCCTCCTCCTCCTCCTCCTCCTCCTCCTCCTCCTCCCTCCTCCTCCTCCTCCTCCTCCCTCCTCCTCCTCCTCCTCCTCCTCCTCCTCCTCGCTCTCTCGGGCTTCAGCGAGGACGCCCCTCCGCGATGCCTTTCCTGCAGGGGCCTGGACGCACGCGCGCCACAGCGTGCGTGTCACCTGGGCTGTCCTCCGCCTGGGCGCGCGGATCGGCAGTGCCACTCCCGAATCGCTGGGGGGGAGGTCTCCGCGCGCCAACCCCCGCTCTCGACACGCGGCCTCTTCCCGTCCAAGAGGCGCGGGCAGCGGGTGCTTGTAGCCCCGCACGCGGAGAAGCCCATCGCCCGAAGTGTTGCGCTCTGCTTCTCGTTCTCTTGTTCTCTCGTTATTTCTCTCTCTCTCTCTCTCTTTTTCTCTCAGTCTCGCTCTCTGCATGGACGCCCACATCGACATCCAGGCGTCGGCTTTCCTGACCCAGATATGCAGCCTGGGGTGGCTCAACGTCGCCGTCGGATATCCAGACGTAATGTCCTGCACCTACGACAAGCGATTAGGACCGAAGACACCAGGGACGGAGAGAACCCGAAAATAAGACGTGCTCACTAATCCATGAGGCAGACAACTGGTCACCAACTTCATCCTGCCCCGCGATCTCCCAACCAAGAAACACCATGGCCTGATAGTTTCTCTGAACCTGGACGTCACCAGACAACCAGCTAGAAGACTTAACCTCGAACGGTCTTTAGTTTTGATCCCCCCACCCCAGCCCCGCCTGTTTCTCCCAGCGGGGAGCAAACTCGACCCTCCTCCTCTCCTCTTCCTGCTGCTGATGTTCCTCCTCCTCCTCCTTCCATTTCCCCTCCTCCTCCTCCTGCTCCTCCTCCTCCTGCGCCTCCCGCTCCTCCTCGTCCTCCTCCTGCTTCCCCTCGTAATCGTCGTCGTCACGGCGGAAGTTCGTTCTCTCTAGTGTTGGGCGGGCTAGATAATGATTCTTCTCCCTGGGAACCATCCATTACCCTGCATGCGGGAGGACATGTAGGATTACAACCGGAATCAGTGGTTGTGGTTGTAGTCGTGATTATAATCACGGTTGTAATCGTGATTGTAATCGTGGTTGTAGTGGTGATTGTAGTCGTAATCGCAGTCGCGGTGATAGTCGTAATCGCAGTCGTGGTTGTAGTCGGAATCTAGTCGTACTAGTCGTCGTATCTTAGTCGTAGTCGTAATCGTAGTCGTAGTCGTCGTTATCATTGCTGCGCGGCGGGCGCTGCAGATAGATAAGTATTTCCGCTAGTGGTGGTTCGCTCGGGAGGGGGTCTCAAGACTTTTTACCAGTTGGGCGGTCATAGCATACTCACTGGCCTCTTCAGCCATAGACAGAAATGAGCAACACCCTTGGGTGACTGCATCGAGCAAGTCTATGGTACACAAATGGACGCGGCCCACACAGCCGACGACATCGATAAATTCATCGATCTCGCCAATCAGGCCGCGCACGAGTGTCACAGGGAACTCCGCACCAGAAGTCCGCCGCAAGAGCGAAACAAGCCAACCACCCGGCATGGCAAAAACATGTTTATCTGTCGGGACTGCTACGCGGCCCCGTTGGTTAGCCCAGAGAGCGGAGTCACTACGTAACCGAGCGGCAAATTATTTGGACAACCTCTTGAGGCAATTCACGTCCCTTAAACCAATCCTGGCTGCTCACCGCCAGCACGTGGACGACCAAGGTACCAACCATCCCGCCCCCTGGGACAGCATCAAACGCACATGGGTCGCAGCAAACGTGCCCACCGAACGGTTCCCTTACATTTCGAACCGTGAGGAAATCCCGATTGACCTGCAGCTAGGTAGTTTCATTGCCTCCGCTGCCCAGTTGAGGCTCAGCCCGCCCACCAGCGAAGCTCACCGCGTTGAGGCGTGGGAGAGCCGCATGCGAGCCAACGAGGGCGGCAGAGCCAAAAGGCAGTGGGTTGAAGCTGCTGAGGTCGCCAGCAGTGGTTACCTACGCACTCCGCACGCGCCACCAGTCACCCCGATAGTGACTGGTAGTGAGACCGATAGTGAGATCGATCGGAGATTGGGGGTGAGGTCGAAGTGGGACGGAAACCCTCCACCCGGAAATCGGTGTCGGTCGCGTGTTCGTCTCGAGCGTGCGGGCGAGGTCGGGCGAGCGGAGTGAGCCCGCTGTGGGTAGGGCGGAACCGGGTCGAATGATGCTGTTCCCCCTTGGCTGCCCCCCTCGGTGGCCCGGGGGTGTCCCGACGGTGGTCCGATGGTGTCCCGATGTTGTTTCGATGGTGTCCTGGTGGAACCCGGGAAGCATCGGGTGCTGCGTTGGCCAGCCCAGAGACTAGCATCGTCACCGTCACAACCGATGCATCGCCGATGCGGCTCGATGAGGAGCCCGATTTGCTTCGCACCGACGTCGACGATGCATCGCCCACGTCGACGACGCATTGCCGGTGCATCGCCGATGTATTTGCGATGCGGCGCGATCGTCCGACCACATCTACTCGACCCTATTTTGGTTTGGCGTTTCACGGCTGTACCCCCGCCCCCCTTTTCACACACCTTGGCCCGCTCGCGCCTCTGGCAACGAGCTCGCTGGCTCGTGCTCCTGCACCAGGCTCTGCGAGAGGCCAAGCGGCAGCGCGTGCGAGGCGCCCGCTGTGGTCCTCGCCGCGCGTGCCGCGGCCAAGGCCAGGCGGAGGGTGCCCCCGCCCCGGCTCTCGCGGCCCCCTCGTTGCTCCCAAACCCTCCGCGTGTTCCTTATCTCACGTCATCGTTTTCTTATTCATTGTTTTGCCGATCGGCGCGGGCCCTCGCATCCCCCCCCCCGTCCCCCCCCCCGTGGAGTAGCTCTTGGCCGTTTTTGGCGCCTGCTTCGAGCAGGTGGAGTCTCCCCCATAACAAACGCCCTGTTGCAGACAGTCGCATGGAGCAGAGGTCCCGAGCCAGACCCCCCTCCCTCCCCCTTTCCGCCCAATGGCGAAACGCCGAATAAAAAACGCTCCCCATCCCTGGCGCGGTTCCATCATGCAGGCCTCCGGGGTCCGTTGCTGGGCCTTGGGATCGCCAAAAGCTAGCTCAGGACGAAGAATTGGTCCGGGGAAACAGGTCGCTTGTCCGTCCTGACCTCTATCCTCTGCTCTTCCTGATTCACCCCTCCGCCCTCCTAATACAATATACAATATCCGCCCTCATCTTTTTCCCCTCCCTTCCTTCCCCAATCGACCCTCTCCTTTCATCTCTCTCTCTCTCTCTCTCTCCTTCTCTCTCTGTGTCTCTCTTCCCTCCCTCGGGCTTCTGTCGTTCTCTCTCCTGCTTCTCTGCGAAGGACTCCTGCTCGTTCGTCCTCCTCTCACGTAGCCGTTTCGCTCCGAGCCCTCCGCTTCTGGAGCGCGGGCGCCAGGGTCACGGCCATGCGCCACAGGACCCCTCACTCACAGCGCGAGCCTTGCTGCGCCTGCGCCTCTTTTCGGGGGCACCGGGGGAGGATAAGGCGGGCGGGAGGGAGGGAGGGAGAGGAGGGATGACGAGGACGAGGAGGAGGACAAGGACGAGGACGAGGAGGGCCGCAGGCAGGACAAGGACGTGAGGCGATGGGGGGGGGCGAAAAGAAGGACGCGGATTTGGCGGAGCACGGGGCCATGGACGAGGACGAGGACGTGGAGGACGACGAGGACGAGGACGAGGATGAAGAGGAGGACGCGGGGAGAAGGGAGGGCAGAAGGCTGAAGGGTGGAGGACGTTCACGGCGCAGACCTTGCTCCTCTTTGCTCTGGCTGGCGCCTACGTGTTCGACGTGGAAACGGTCTGCAGCGTACCAGAGACGTTGTCCGACGACGATAAGGCTCGGGACGTTATCTTTGCTCGTCTCCTTCTGTCGGCGAAGGAAGACGGGGAAGAGGGGAGGGTGAGGAGAGGGCCCGTGGGTCGAGCATCGGGGTGCGTCTTGCCCAGAAGTGTGACGGGGAACCGGCCGAGACGGCAAGAGCTCCCCCGCAGGCACAGACCACGGCGAAGCACTGCAACAAGACAACCTGCGGTCAGGAGCTGTGGCTCAGCGTGTCGCGCCGCCAGTTCTGGCCCACCGCGCTTCGGCGCGACACGCTCTCCACGTCCCAGTCCCCAAGAAGCGTCAACGTCCTGAGCTTTTCCCAGGCTCCCGCCCGCGGATTGGAGCGACACGCCATCCGCTCGCTGGGCACAGCCTGTCGCTGGAGCCGCCGCCGCCACACGCTACGCAAAAGTTCGTGCGTAACGGTGGTGTTATCTTCTTGCGGCTGTGATGATTGTTCCTCTCGGGTCAGCTGACCAAAAAAGCCCGAGGCGTCGGGCAAAGGTGCCCTTGGGCCCGAAGTGCCCCCCTGGGCCTCTCGGGGAGGGGGCGTCTGGAGTGATCGCCAGGACGCCACAGACATCGAGCGGATTGATTACGGGTGTGTTGTGTTTTCGTGGCGTGCTTACTCTTATGATTCTGACTATGGCTAGTATTGCCTTCCGCGCCAGCAGGGAAAAGGAGGATCGAGGCGTTGGGCAGAGGAGCCCTCTGGTCTGAAATGTGCCCAGCCGGGCCACGCGGGAGGGCGGCGGGAGGGGGGCGCCTCGAGTGAGCGCAATGCCACAAGGACGCCACAGACTTCGGGCGGAAGGATCATTCCAATCCCAGGCTTCACTCGGAGTTAGACAGACGGGGAAGAGGGGAGGGTGAGGAGAGGCTCCGTGGGTCGATCATCGAGGTGTGTTTTGACTACAATTTCGATGGGGATCCGGCCGAGACGACAACAGCTGACCCCAGGCACAGGCAACGGCGAAACACTGCAGCAAGAAAACCTGTGGAGGAACTTTGCGTTAGCGTGTCGCGCCGTCGGTTCTGGCCCACCCCGCTTCGGCGCGACAAGGTCTCTCCGTTCTGGTCCCCAGACGTCGACGTCCCGAACTTTGCACAGCCTCCCGCCCCGCGGAGCGGAGCGACGACGCGCTATCCGCTCGCAGGGCATGGATGTCGTGCCGCCGGGGCCGCCGCCGCGACACGCTAACCAATAGCTCCCAACCGTGATCCTCGAGCGATGTACGATGTCTTTCCCCTTAGTGGCGAGCGCGGGGCGGGGGCCATCTCCAGAGGGCCCCCCGGCCGCCGCAGGCTGGACGGCGCCTCCCGCAGCCCCCCCCCCCCCCTGGCGAGGCGGCCCTCGCCTACCGGAACTGCCACTTCGTGGACGTGTGGCAGCTGGAGGCTGGCCGAATCACTGGTCGATTCGTCGTTCGTCCTTCCCTCCTTCGCTCCGCCTCGCCTCGCGTCACCGTTCGGCATGCCTCCCTCTCTCCCTTCGCGCGCTTCTTCTCCTCGTTCAATGCGCATTCCTTCATCATGTTGCGCCTGCCGACGTGCCATCGGGCCGACGGCTACCCGACCTGACCCGAGACATCCGAAGCAGTGATTTGCGTAATCCCACCGCGTTTCCGCAGTTTCGGTTTCGGTTTCCACCGGGAAACCGGTTTCGGTTTCGTGTTCGTGTCGCGAGTGCGGGCGAGGCGAAGCTGCGTAGTGAGATCGATGATGAGATCGCTCGGATAGGATGGATAGTGAGATCAAACATGAGGTGAACAGTCAGGTTGATTGTGGCATTGGTTGTGAGATCGGAAAGAGCTTGTTCTATACCGCTGCTGGCGGAAAACCGGGGGGGGTCACTATACCGGTTCGACCCCCCCCCCCCCCCCGGAAAACCCGGGGGGGTCACTGCCGCTTCGAGCCCCTCCCCGCCCCCCAGGTCCATCATGAAAAGGAGGGGGGGCACTGCCGGTTCGACCCAGATCCCCCCCTCGAAATCGGGAGGGTCCCTACCGGTTCGAACCCCCCCCACCCACCCCTCGAAATACCGGGGGGGGGTCACTACGGGACGCTGGGACAGCACAGTGGGACGGCGGCGGGGACAGTGGGACAGTAGTGGGTACAGTGGGGGCAGTGGGACGGTGGTGGGGCCCGTGGGGAAGGTGGGGAGAGTGGTGGGGCCGTGGTGGGACAATGGTGGGGAGAGTGGTGGCATTGACACACTGGTGGGGGCACTGGTGGGGACAGCGGTGACAATGGCGGGAACAGTGGGGACAGTGGACAGTGGTGGGGACGGTGGTGGTGGGGACAGTGGTATGGGGACAGTGGGAATGTGGTGGAAACAGTGGGACAGTGGAGGGTACAGTGGTGGTGGGGACAGTGGTGAGGGCGGTGGCGAGGACGGCGGTGGGACAATGGGACAGAGGTACAGTGGGGACAGTGGTTGGGACAGTGGGGACAGTGGTGGGAACAGTGGGACAGCTCAGTGGGAAAGCGGAGGAGACAGTGGGACAGTGGGGACAGTGGGGACAGTCGGGCATTGGTTGGGGCCGTGGAGACAGTGGGGAGAGTGGAACCGTGGTGGGAACAGTGGTGGGGATAGTGGGGACAGTACGACAGTGGTGGGGGCACTGGTTGGGACAGCAGGGACGGTGGTGGAACCAGGGGGACAGTGGTGGTGAGGACAGTGGTGCTGGGGACAGCAGTGGGGGATGTGGTGTGGACGGTGGTAGGGACCACCGGGAGTCTGGCGGTGAGCGTGGTGGGGGGGGGAGAGGGTTCGAACCAGTTTCGAGGGGGGGGGTTCGAACCGGTAGTGACCCCCCCGGTTTTCTGGAGGGGGGGGGGTTCGCGGTTGTGACCCCCCCCGGTTTTCGAGAGGGGGGGGAGGGGTTCGCACCGGTAGTGACCCCCCTCCGGTTTTCTGGAGGGGGGAGGGTTCGAACCAGTAGTGACCTTCGAACCGCTAGTGACCCCCTTCGGTTTTCCGAGGCGGGGGGGGGTTCGAACCGGTAGTGCCCCCCCCCGTTTTTCCGGAGGGGAGGGGAGGGGGGGGGGTTAGGGGAGGAGGGGGGTTTAAATTTGCTGGGGGGAAAGGGGGGAGGTCCAGCAGGGGGAGGGGGGATTTTCGGGGGGGGTGGGGGGACCCCGGGTTCCGGAGGAAGAGGGGGGGGAATGTTCCACAATAAAGCGGCGGTGGATCACGCTCTCTCTGAGATCGATAGTGAGATCGATTGTGGGATCGGTCGAGGAATCGTTATTGAAATCGATAGTGAGATCGTAATCGAGATCAATAGTGATAACGATGGTGACATTACATCGCAGCGCAACATCGAATCACGCGCCGTCGCTAACTCGAGGGCGCGTCAGCAGCATCTTCATCATCACACCCATCGCATTTGCCAGCAGTTGGTTCTGTCCCCCGTCACACCCCCCAACCTCCCTAGCACCTGGAGGGTGGTCGTATAGGTATGGATGCGTTTTCGGCCACGAGCCCAAACATCCGAAGGATTGATACGTGGGGCCAGTTTCTCACGGGCCCCGACCATCGAAAGTCGGTCCAGGATGGAAAAGTTGCCCTTGGGGAAGGAGTCGGGATCTCTGGGGCCGCGAAACGAAAACGAATCGCGTCGGCGGGTGTCTTGGGCACGCTGGGGATGGCAAGATCTGAGGCTGCGCACAGGCAGCCCCCAAGAGGTACAGCCAAAATGGGCATTGAGGATGAGACTCTGAAGCGAGACACACTGGCATCCTTCGACCAGGCATGCAGAGGGCATGGAACGCAGTTGACGGGACGCCAAGGTGCCCTGGATGTTGCATGGTCAGCGTGCTACGTTGTCGGACCCGACTGTAGTCTCGGCTGACCTCACTTCACTTGGCGCTGCCTCTGGCGGCGCCACTGGGGCGCTCTGCGCCCCAAGGTTGAGATGTTCATCGGACCGCCCAAGGCTGCAGTGGAGGCCCATGCCAAGAAGCACCCTGCTTGAGCCTCCAGGGTGCCCTGTGTGTTTCTTGGTTTTGATGGTTTTGCGATGGGAAGCGTGACGTTCTCATGCCAAAAATCAAACATCAAGGAACGCCCTGGGGTCTCAGGGTTGAGTTTTTTGTGGAACGTTTTTTTTTTTTGTGGACTTGCTCCACTGTGCTCGAAGTGAGCCTGTTGAGGCCAGCCAGGACCGCCTCGCGGGGCTGTGCGCGCACTGCCCCAGAAGCCTTGGAAGAAGCTGGGGACGGTGTGCCCAGCGTGTTTGCAGGCACGCTCCGACCTCGGCCAGACCGAGCGCACCCAGAGGGGCGCCAGACGCCCTCGCGTCTCCCGCGTTCGCCTCTGGGCCCGGACATCGGAGGTGAGGACTGCTGTCGGTGCGGGGCCCTGGAGAAAGCCTCCCCTCTCTCCAGGGCCAGCCTCTCGTCCCGCGTCGCTGCTCGGCTGCCCGGGCGCCGTAGCTCTGCTCCCGCGCGCAGGTGAAGGAGGCGATCGGCGAGGGGCTCCACGAGGGGATCGACCGCGGCGAGGAGCAGAGGGCCCTCTGGGAGAGGCGCACGGCCAACGCCTCCGAGGCGTGCGGCCACGCCGCGTGGGCGTGCGAGAGCGAGCAGGACTGCGCAGGTAGCAAGCCATGGGGGCCTCGTAGACCCTCGTCGCTCCGTGTTTGCGGTGCACTCGCGTGGACGAGCGTCTAGCGCCTGGCAGTCGATGAGGTAGCGCCGACTTAGCGTCGACTAGCTAAGCGTCGACCGTAGTCGATGCTGTGTCGATGAGCGCCGACTAGCGTCGATGAGTGCTGATATGAAAGAGCCGGCAAGATGGTTTGGGAGGCTCCCATGAGTTGCCGCAGAAGGACTACGAGAAGTGCGCTTGGCTGGCCATCAACGCGTGGGGGTCCCCGGCGCGGGCACGCAGATCAGGGGGTCGGGGGCGAGGGGGTCAGAGGCAACGTCAGGGGGGATAGGCTTATGGGGGACGCACCGACTCCGAAGCGCCCAATGATCGCCGGATATCCCCCCCGATAACCCTTTACAGGAGGAGTATTCAAAAATAGTAAAAAAAATTCAGGGGACTAGTTTGTTGACTATTTTTGTATTTCTGCGCTTGTCGATTTTTTCCTCGTCAGAAATTCGCCTGTAGCAGGACACGCCCGATCTAATGATAACCCCCACCGCCCAGGAAGGGTCGGGATTCGCTGTCGGGGGCCTGTCGCCGAAATCTATCGGCTACATATGCCTCGCCGATTCCAGCTCCGGTATACCCCCGCCCTCCTGTGCCCGTCACCCCCCTATCTTAAGTCGGGCGTGTCCCTCTACAGGAGGAATGTTCAAAAATAGTCAAAACATAGCCTGGGGACGTTTTTTTATGAAAAAGACTACGTTTGATTACGTTTGACTATTTTCCATATTCCGCCTGTAGGAGGACATGCCCGACCTAACCTTGGTGTTGTCCCTCCGGGGGGGCGGCCTCTCCCGAGTGAGGGCGGCGGGCTCCTTGTGCGAAGGGCCCCACCCGCCACACACACACACACCCACACACACCTACACACCCACACACACACACACACACACACACACGCACACGCAGACACACACACACACACACACACACACACACACACACGCACGCACGCACGCACGCACGCACGCACGCACGCACGCACGCACGCACGCACGCACGCACGCACGCACGCACGCACGCACGCACGCACGCACGCACGCACGCATACACACACACATAAACATATGTATTTATACACACACGCACACGGAACACACACCACCTCACGGGCGGCCTCCCGCAGGGCTGCCCCCTTCGGAGCCCACTCGGCGTCGGAGCCCACTCTCAGAGGAACAAGAGGTCATGACAATGATAGGGTCCAAGGCTTCCAGGATTTCCCCCAAGGCTTCCAGAATTTCCCAAGAGTAGGGGAATGAAGACTGACATAAGCATAACAACTCGGAGGTCGGCGCGGATTTCTCGGATCCGCGCTGGACTCCCAACAATACTCGAACATGGACGGAAAATCATCCCCATACTTTTTTATGTGTTAGATGAATCCTCCTGTAGAGGGACACGCCCGACTTAACCCTAAAGAGGTCATGCTGATGATAGGTCCAAGGGTTCCACGATTTCCCCAAAGGCTTCCTGGTGTTCCACAGGGGGTGCAGAGAATCTGGAAGGCTAATCTTATCATGATATCGCACCCGTCCTACACTATCTATGTTTGGTTATGTTTGCGAACAGTTTGATTTGTTTTTTCATGCTTCAAACAACATCCGCCTGTAGGAGAACACGCGCGACCTATTCCTACACTCGGCCGCCGAGCCGGGTTCGAGACCGAGTCGCTTCGGCGGCCAAACAGTGCCCAGTTCCCACGAGACCCCGTCCGAGCTGAGCCCGTCTGGCTGCCCACTCGGAGGCGGAGCGGACTCCGACGCCGCACGGGCTCGAGAGGGAACCCTTCGAGCAGGGGGTCGCTTACAGAATTGATGTGTCCCAAAATGAGTTTTTTTACCGAGTCTTCCAACACAAATGCGTTGAGTGTTCCTAGATCCACGAGCATGCCACGCATGTTCCCTGGGCTCGACCCCCCCACACACACACACACAAAAATGAGGGGCTAACCAATTTAGTAGTCGATCCCATGATCGGACCCTGGGTCAGCCGCCCCCCCCCCTCGCCGCGCGCCCGCGCGCGGGCCACCGAGGTCCATCGTCCGGCACGGCGCCACCTGCTGCACCCTGCTCCACCCGCCCTACTGCATGGACCAGGCCTGGGCACCCCAGACATGATCGCGTTGTAGAAAGTTCAGGACCAAGGTTTTTCGTCGTTTTCGGCCTCTCGAGGGACCGTCAAAAAACGTGTCGGGATGAAAAACCGGCCCCGGGGAACAGGTCGGGACTTCCGGGGAACCGGGAAAGGGTCGGGACTTCCGGGGACGCCGTCCTGAAAAAACCAGGACGTCGCACGTCTGGGACTGAGGGGGCGCCCACCCGGGCAAGTCGGCCGAGGATATCTGCGCCAGTTTGCTCGACATTGGCATTCGAGTGCGCCGGCGCAGCCTGCGGCGTGAGTGTGCCCCCGCGCTCGGCTCCCCCCCTCCTTCGCGGCCGCCCTCTCTCCTCCTCCCCCTCCGCGCATGCGGGCTATAGAGCTCGCGCTGCCGTGCCCTGGCCGCGCCCCGACACGCGCGCGGACCGCCCCTGCCGCGCTGCGACGTGGCAGTGCCGGTGCCGTTCCCGGTCGGTTTCGCTGATCGACGCGGGCCTCGCCCGATGCGTGCGGTCGTCTTTGCACTCCGATCCGCTGCCCCGCTGGGACCCGCTCGGGGGGCGGCGGCGTTCGCACGTGGAGCGCCCCTTGGCAGCACCCGAGGTCGTGCGGCGAGAGGGTGCTCCTAGGCGACGACGACAATGGCATGAGCGTAACAACTCGGAGGCCCGCGCGGATTTCTCGCATCTGCGCTGGGGCCCCCTGGCGGCGCCTCCAGCGCCGATCCGAGAAATCCGCGTGGACCTCCGAGTTGTTATGCTTGTGTCATTCTTCGGTCCCTCATGTACAAGCAGTGGCGAAGCGTCCTGGCGTGCGTGTATGCCCGCCAAACAATGTTCTAATAACCTTTTTGTGGTTTCCACGGGATGTTCTTAGAACAGTTATGGCTGGGACTGTTTTGTTTTAGCACATCGGGCTTATGTTCTAAGCACATTGTTGCTGTTCTCAGAACATGTGTGGCTTCTAAGACTATTTCGTGGCAGGCCCATAGGAATGGCGGGACGGTCGGCCCCTGCTCAACATGTTTTGCCAACTCTCGGCAGGCCTTCTCGGCGTCGACGGTTGCGCTCCTGGCCCCGCTCGCCGTGCTCGCCCTGCTGCTGGCGGGCGCCGTGCTGCTCTCGTGCGCCGAGCGGCCGCGCAAGGAGCCGCGGGGCGCGACGAGCGCGGCGCCCGCCGGGGGGCCCCGGGCGTCCGCCGCGCCCGCGCGGGCCCGGCCCGGCGGCGCCGCGCTGAGGGACCACTTGGAGGACGCATGCGGAGAGGAGGGGGCTGTGTGAGCATTGGTTTTCGGAGCTCCTCCCGGAGGGCTCGACTTGCGTCGGGCGGGTCCCTCTGTACCGGGGGAATGTTCAAAGATAGTCAAAACATAGCCTGGGGACGATTCTGTCGAGCATGTTCTTATTTTTTGGCATTTCTTGAATATTGTTTGACTAATTTTAAACTTGTCCTCCAAGCTCCGCCTGTAGGGGGACATGTCCGACCTAAGGCTCGACGACTTGTCGCTAGTCGACGTGCAGGGATCAGGCTGGAGAAGTCAATGCCGAGGCAGACACCTCAATGGGCGCACCTCCTGGCAAATCCGGTCAAATCCGAGGACCCCCAGGGAAAGCTAGAGCAAATCGTGGCCGCTCCAGCACGAGCCGAGGGACGGCAGAAGTCGCTGAGCCCTCAACGAGCTCCGCGCGGATTTGCTGGGTCGGGCCTGGGCCCCCCTGGCGGCGCCTCCGGCGCCGCCCTTCGCACGCTCCGCGCGCCGGGGCTAGCCCCGGCGCAAGATATCCGCGCGGACCGCCGAAAGCTTTTGTTCATGCAGTTGTTTCTTCTCCGGCGCATGGCAGAAGAGGAGCTGCTTGCGTCTGCTGCCCAACCAGGCCCCATTCGCCAAGTCAACCGCGTCGCTGTTCGCGGGCCTGGCCGAGGCGTTCGAGTTCCAGGACGGGTGCTCCCCAACAGGGCCCCCTCGTCTCCGAGGTGTCGAGCGTCTGGCATCGGCGGAGGCTGGCGGAAGTTGAGTCGACGGCGGCCTCGCCATCGGGCGCTCGTTGGAGGCTCGGCGGAAGCTGGCGCAAGTGAACGCACGCGTCCCAGGAAAGGCTTCCCGGGCCGGCCAGGAGGACAACGTGAAGAACCAGCACGAGCACTTGATGTCCTTATGGCGCTCGCAGCTCTCCATGGTGGCCGACAGGACCTACGACAGCGACGTCATGGGGAGGGTCGACGAGCGAGACCTCCTCAGGCAGGCGCTGCATGATTTGCACGCGGAGCTACTGGACGGCTTCGAGCGTTGGAGAAACCACATGCGGGCAGCGGGCGCGTGGAGAGAGGACGACGTGCCCACCAGGCGGGAGGAGGACGGCGGCGTGCCGACGATGTGCGGCGCAGAGTGGGACCCCGTGCGCCTCGCCGGCAGGGACGAGGAGGACGACGGGGCACTGTCGCGCAAGCTGGCAGAGGTGCCGAGGCTCGGGAAGTGGCGCGCAGACCGGCCGGGGTGCTGGCCCAGGCAGGCCCCCGGGGCAGGCCCCCGGCAGGCAGGTCAGCCCAGGGCAGTCTCACCGACCCGTCGTCGCCTCCCCTCCTCCTCCTCCTCCTCCTCCTCCTCCTCCTCCTCCTCCTCCTCCTCCTCCTCCTCCTCCTCCTCCTCCTCTACTCCGAGGAGGAGGGCCAGTTGGGTCAACGACAGCTGGCTCTCCGGGGGGGGGGGGCCCTTGTCGCCACGGCTGGACGCAGCTCGTACAACTGGTGCGTGAAGACCCCGGGAGGGGTCCAGGGCCAGGGACCGATGTGGAGCTGCCGTTGTGTCAGCTCGCCCTGCTCCGAGTTACGCGTCCCAGCATCGGGGTGGCATCGCCCTGGATTCCCCCCCCACGCCTGCTGAGGCCAGCCAGGGCTATCTCTCGAGGCCCTCTGGCCACAGTCCGAAGCCTTGCCGAGAAGAGGTTGCCGCGTTCCTTCTGGTCTGGGGCGAGGCCGGGAATCTGCGCTTCATGCCAGAGATGCTCTACTTCATTACGGACCTCGTGCTGTCGTCGGCGCCCATGTCGCCTGGAGAGGCTCTTTACCAGCCAGTGCTTCCTTCTGGCGAAAGCGGGCTGTTCTTGGCGAGGGTTGTGCGGCCCGTGTACAACGTAGTCTTCGACGAGTTGTACGTTAGCGTGGACGTGAAAAACCAGAGGGACGCCAAGAAGTTGCGCGACGGGTTCGACGCATACCTGCCTGGGGACGTCGCAAATTACGACGATTGGAACGAGCTCTTCAGCGACCCAGCGAGGCTGAGGGAGGCGCTGGTGCTGAAGCGCGGCGTCCCGCTCTTCGACTACGACCACGGCCAGATGTTCCGCCTGCTCCTGGAAGTCGACTGGGAGGTCTCCCTTCAGGCGCGGACAGCGAAGACCCACAACGAGCTGCACTCGCTTTGGGGTGTGTTCGCCTCGACGCACCGCGTCTGCCTGCTGCACGAGGTCATGTTCCTTCTCAGCCTCTGCGCCGTCGCTCCGGACCCGCCCGCAGCGGCGGAGGGCGAGTGGCCAGTGGGCGGCGACACTCGGGTCGTGCGCTTCGCTGCGCTCGGTCTGCTCGTGCCTTTCCACGCGATCGCCTGGAAGATTGCGGAGTGGCACATCACAGGCTCCGCGCTGCGCCCTGGGTGGGGGAAGGAGAGGTGTATCAGTTTCGTGGGTGCTGTCCGTGACGTTTTCTCCAGCCTGAGCCGAGACACTGCAGGGCGCTTCTGCTTCGAGGTCTTCCGACGGCCACCGTTTGTCTTCTTCCTCGTGCCGGGGGCTACGTGGAGGCTCCTCCTCTGGGCACGTGCCAGCGGCGACGAGCAGGGTGTTCTCCTGGCCGCCGTGGCAGCCATCCACTACACGCTCTCCGCTTATGGCCTCGCCTTCATGCTGCTAATTCCCTCGACCACCTATAGCAGGTTTCCTTTCGAGAGCACGACCGACGTGCCGTTGCCGACCCGCCTGGTTCGCTACGGTTTCTGGTTCTTCGTCCTCTCGGTCAAGTTCGTGCTTGGGCTAATCGTCATCCGGACCATCAGCGACGCCATCCAGGAGCTCCAGATCAGCCGTCCGGGCCAGCAGTCCATGCAGGAGATCGGGCAGGTGTACCTGAGCGCGGTCTGGGCAGACGACGTGCTGCTATGGACCGTGCTGATGTGCACAACGTTCGCCCTCTACCTCGCGGACACCCAGCTCTGGTTCACGGTCTGCTGTGGGCTTCTGGGCGTCGCCATCACCTTCCGACAGAGGCATCTCGCCGATAACCCCGAGTGCTTTATGACCGAGGACGCCGTGGCGATGATCCCACACCGCTTCCAGAGCAAGGTGCTGACGTACAAAAAAGACCCTAGGCTATTTGGGGCCGCCTGGGACCGCATTGTGATGTACATGCGCTACGAGGACGACATAAGCACTTCTCAGTGGGGGGACATGTCTTACGCGAATGACGCCGGGGCGAACATCACATGGAAGCGGCTCACAGAGAGGCTCGATGCCGCATCTGCCAAGTCTGATGCCCTAGTAGACGAACCGGCGGCCCCGCTTCACAAACATGTCGGCAAGAGAAAGACGCCGCAGTTTTTTAAAGGGAGCCCCTCTTGCGAGAGGTGCGTGCAGACGTACCTCCTCGGCGTGCCCGAGGAGTTTCGGAACGCCGATCTACATTGGCGCATTATGGCCCTGTCCCGGGGGCTCGGGCTTCCATTGCCTCGGCCATACAGGGCGCCATACATACCCGGCATCACGGTGCTCATTCCGCACTACATGGAGACCATCATTTTGCAGAGAGATGACCTCTACAATATGAACGGTCCGACCGTACCGCTAATCGCTTGGCTCCATTACAAGTACAAGGACGAGTTCGAGCATTTCACGGAACGGATGCTGAGGCGAGGGGACACCCATGAAGTCGAGTGGCCAGTGACAGGGAAAGATTGGTCGAAATACACACCCGAACAGTGGCCTAAGGTCAGCAACTGGGCGACCATGAGGCAGCAAACCCTCTTCCGGACCGTGGCGGGCATGTGTTACTACCACCCAGCGATCCAGGCGCACTTCGAGCTCCAGGGGGACAGGGACAGCAAACTCGCCGAGGTGTGGGGCCACCCCGAGAATGGTCCGAGCGACGTATTCACTTGCCTGGTCTCCATGCAGATGTACGCTTTTTTCAGCGACAAGATGTTAAAGGACACCGAGTACATGTTAGAGAAATTCCCCAGCTGCCTCAAGATCGCGTTCATAGACTACGAGCCCAAGCTCGAAGGCGGAGCGGAGATTTCAGACGGCCCGCCTGACCTCCCCGCTCGTCTGGCAGATGGGGTGCACCAGAGGCAGAAGAGGCGCTACTACAGTTGTCTGATAGACAAGAGTTGCGATCCTGATGGCAAGCGAAGGAGCCCTAAGTTTCGAATCGAACTCCCAGGATACCCAATCCTCGGAGACGGCAAGGGCGACAACCAGAACCACGCCATCCCGTTCACGCGCGGCCATTATTCGCAGGGCATCGACGCGAACCAGGGCGCTTATTTTGAACAGATGATGTTGTTACCATGCGCACTGGGTGAGTTCCGCTCAAGCAGGAAGAGGATATTCAGAGGCCTGCGGCAAACCGCGCCACCGCGCCAGCGTAGAAGTGCAGCGGCGCGAATGGAGGTTGAGCTGAAGACGAATGTTGGAGCACCTCTGGGACCTCTTGAAGGCCTCTCGGGAGCCTCTGAGGTCCGCGTGGGATGCCCCTGGTGGTCTGTAGGAGAACCTCTGGGTGTCATTTTGGGGTATCTTGGGCATCTCGGGGGCGTATTGGGAGCCTCGGGGGACCTTTTGGGGTTATGTTGGGGGTATTGGATGCAATCATTTGGGGGGGCTGTTGGGGCCTTTGGAGACAATCCTGTAGTAGTAATAGGCTGTCAAGGCCAGGTCGATGGCCCCCCTCTTGGGGCCTTCCGGCGGGCCTCCTGGGCCGTCTTGAAGGAGCATCTTGAGCTGTCTTGAGGTCCCACTAGGCCGTCTTGAGGGTCTCTTGGGTGGTCTTGGAGCTCCCAAGGGCCGTCTTGGGGCCTCTTGGGGCCCTGTTGGGCTGCGTCTGTGAGCCCTCTTCGGGACCTGTTGGGCAGTGTTGTGCTTTCGGAAGCCAGGCAAGGCCTTCTTTGGGTCGCCTTGTGGACCTCTGGGCCCGTCTTGTGGCCATCCTGGGGCACCTTTACGGCGCACGGGGGCCTTTCTGGGCGGTCTTGGGACCGCTGTGGAGGCATTTTGACCGTCTTGGGGGAGCTTGGCTGCCTTGGTGCGATGCTGGCAGTCTTGGAACACTTACGTTGGCTGTTTGAGTTGTTTTCTTCTATGTGTTTGATTGAGACCTCACTTCTAAAGGATAATTGCTGTTAATCCCCATCCATGGGGCTTGCAACCTTTTTTGCAAAAGGGAAACCGATGTGTCACCAAACTGGGCCCCCGGCCCCCGGTTTGCAACAACAACGGCTCCCGCCTGATACGTCCCACAATGTACTGGAAAATCACGTTTTCGCGACCAGACTTCCTCACAATGTATGCAGAAATCGCGCTCTCGCGAGGGGCTTCCTCGTGATTTATTCAACGCCGCGCCCGTCGTCGACACTCAGGAATCACGCTCGGCGACTTATTTGGGAATCGCGCCTATCGCTCGAGACGTCCTCGCGATTCATGTCGGACGCACGCTTCAGCAACCCGCCTGCTCGACCTGGCTGCTTGGGCCCGCCTTCCCAACCCGCCCGATCTGCCCGTCTGGTTCTGCCACGTACTTTCTGCTCGTTGCCCCCATCCTGCTACTCTCTCTCGTGCTCCATCTCCTCCCTCCCCCTTTTCCCTCCCTTCAATCCGGCTTCCCTTCCCCTTTCTCAGGGATTGCACGAAATAAACGCTGCAGGTAAGAAAGATATATACCCCCAAGGGGGTACGATCGAAGACGAAGAGGGCGGGTACCAAGGGTTTGGGATAAACGTGTTGAGTTGCCCGCGAGCAGATCCGAGCAAACAGTCTCAAACTGATTGTTGTTCTCGCTGCTGCTGCTGCTGATCATGCTTTTGTTGTTGTTGTTGTTGTTGTTGTTGTTGTTGTTGTTGTTGTTGTTGTTGTTGTTGTTGTTGTTGTTGTTTGTTGTTGTTGTTGTTGTTGTTGTTGGTGTTGGTGTTGTTGTTGTTGTTGTTGTTGAATTCTCATTTCTAAAGAATAAGTGTTGTTGATCCCCTCGGTGCTCATTGCATTTGTTCAATTAAAGTGTTTCTGCCGGGGCTCGCACCTTGTTTTTTTTACGAGGGGTTGCGAGGTGTCGCTAAACTGGGCCCTTGGCCTCCAATTTGCAAGAACAACGGCTTTGATATGTCTTCACGATGTATTTGACAATCGCCCATCTCGCGCGGGACTTCCGAACAATGTATGCAAAAATTGCTCTCTCGCGTGGGACCCCCTCGCAATTTATTCCGACGCCGCGCCATCGCTTTTTTTTTTCAGAATCATGTCTCGTTGTGGGTTTCCTAGCGATCTATTTGGGAATCGCGCTATCGCTCGAGACTTCCTCGCGATTCATGCAGGACGCACGCTTCAGCAACCCGCATGCTCGACCTGGCCGCCTGGGCCCGCCTTCCCAACCCGCCTGTTGGGGTCTGGCCGCCCGATCTGCCCGTCTGGTTCTGCCACGTACTTTCTGCTCTTTGCCCCCCTCCTGCTACTCTCTCTCGTGTTCCATCCTCCTCCCTCCCCCTTTTCCCTTCCTTCAATCCGTCCTCTCTTCCCCTGCCTTTGGCGCTGCACGGAATACGCGCTGCAGGTAAGAGAGGTATTCCCTTTAGGAGGTACGATCGCAGACGACGAGGGCGGGTATCGAAGGTTTGGGGTATACTTGTTGAGTTGTCCGTGAGCAGATAAGAGCGAACAGTCTTACAAGGATTGTTATTGTTGGTGTTGTTGGTGTTGTTGGTGTTGTTGTTGTTGATGTTGTTGTTGGTGGTGTTGCTGTTTATGTTGATGTTGATGTCAATGTGGATGCTCATGATATTTGTTGGTTGCTGTTCTGCCCCTCACCCGTCAGATCTCCCTTTTGGCCAGAGCGCCTCGAATCAGCAACTTGAATTTTGAAGTAGCCAGACACTTGTTCTGGAGAGGGGGTGGGTGGTGGTGGTGGGGGTGGGAGGATTTTCTCAGGGCGCGTATGGGCAGGGCATGGAATCTGTCCTATAAACACGTTGTAAAAAAAGACGCTTCCTGACAGCAGAGGACCATTTCAACACGTCCTAGCGCGCTTGAGGCGCAGGGACGATTAGGGTTCCCGGAGCACATAACTAGCGACATTGGTTCCGTTGGCGATTTCGCGGCCTCGGCCGAGATGGCCTTCGGCACCATCCTGCAGCGCACCTACGCCGTGCTCGGCGCCAGAATGCACTACGGGCACCCCGACATCATGAACAAGCTGTACATGATGCAGCAGGGAGGCGTGTCCAAGGCGACGAAGACCTTGAACCTCTCGGAGGACATCTTTGCAGGAATCGACTTCACTCTGCGTGGAGACGGTCGCAGGATCAAGCACTGCGAGTATTTACACTTTGTGAAGGGGAGGGATCTGGGATTTAACACGGTTTTGGGTTTCTTCTCCAAGTTGTCATCGGGTACGGGCGAGCAGATTTTGACGCGCCAGATGTTCCGGCTTTCGCAGGTGCTGCAATTGCCAGAGGCTCTCACGTTTTATTACGCGCACGCAGGGTATTATCTCAACCAGTTCATCGTCTCGTGGTCTTTGCCCCTGCTGGTTTGGGTCTGGCTGTTAGTGCTCTTGTCCGATTGTGAGGATAAGCTTGGCGCCCTCATGATGTGCGAGCCCGAGAAGAAGTCTTCGGCGATGGTGATGGCGTCCGCACTGGCAACCTGCTACTCTTGGCTCATGCTGCTGTTCTTGTTCGCGATGTCCTTCCCGCTCTTCGCCGAGCTGTGGATGCAGCGCAACTCCAAGACAGCTGTGTGGAAGATGGTGCAGAGCTACCTCACACTATCTCCCTTGCTCTTCATCTTCCAGTCCAAATGCATCGGCCATTACATCGTGAACGAGTTCCGGTACGGGGGCGCTAAATACGTCGCCACGGGGCGCGGGCTTCCAACGGAACGGAGACCCTTCGTGGGAAGATGGTCGGATCAGGGGGGATCGTGGGAATGGGGCGGCTTGTACCTTGACTACGCTGCCATCGCGTACTACGACGGCGCCATGTTGTTTGTCGGCCTCGCCTTCGTTGTGGCAGCTGGGGGCATCCCGAGCGAAGCCCTCTCTGCGCTCGCCTGGGTGTTCTTCTCCTGTGCACTGGTGCTCATCTCGTGGTTGGGCGCCCCTTTTATCGAAGACGCCTACGGCGAATCACCGCCGCCCCCTGCCTTTTTTGAAGCGCCTATGTGGCCGAACGTTGAGGCCAGACCTGCCAAGCTATCGGACCACGTGTTCCCCGAATCGGTTTGGAAAGCCTTCGGGGAACACGTGGGCATCTTGAAGGTCATCTTGGCCGTCTTGGAGGCCTCTTGGGCAAGCTTTGGGCGATCTTTGGGGCTTTTTGGGCCGTCTCGGGCCAGCTTCGAGCCAACTTCGGCCATCTTGGTGGGTTCCTGGCACGTCTGAAGCCGTCGGAAGCCGTTTGGGGGGCCTCTATGGGCCGACTTGGGGCCCGCTTGGAATGCTCCAGGGCCGTCTTGGAGAGGCCATCTTGGGCGTGTTGGAGGCCTCTTGGGCCCTCTTGGGGCCCTCTAGGGGCCATCTTGGAGGCCACTTGGGCCATCATGGGGCTCTCTTGGGGGCCTCTTGGGCGATCTTGGGGGCTTCTTGGGCCGTCTTGAGCCGTCGGAGAGCCGAAAAGGCGCAAATGCCAAAATCCTTCAAAAACCAAGGGAAAATCAATGATTTTGGCCTCTTCGGACTCTCCTGGAGGACCTCTTGGAGGCCTCTTGGGCCGTCTGGGAGGCCTCTGGGGGGCCTCTTGGGCCGTCTTGGGCCGTCTTGGACTCTCTTGGGCCGTTTTGGAGGCCGTCTTGGACCGTCTTGGAGGCATCATAAGGCCATCTTAGCCGTCTTAGAGACCATCCTGGCCGTCTTAGAGGCATCTTGGAGGCCATCTTGGAACCGTCTGGGGCAGGAAATTGGGGAATTGAGCTCCTGGGCATCCTTTCCGGGTGGCCGGCGGGACGGGCCGAAGCCCACTGGGGAGTTCTTTTGGAAAAAGAACCAAAACCAAAACCTAACAGCTCATCCAGCACGCCGTGCACCCCTGCAAGCAGCTCATCTCGTGGTTGGGCGCCCCTTTTTATCGAATGGCAATCGGCCCATCCCGCCACCGTGCCTGGGTTGTGGGTATGAAGCCTATTGGATGTTCGTTGGGATCTCGTGGGAGGCTTCTCGGGGGCCTCTTAGAGGCAGCTTTGAGGCTTCTTGCGTTTTGGGGCCTCTTGGGGCCTCTTTTGGGCCTCTTGGGGGCCTCTTTGGGCCTCTTGGGAGCCGCTCGGGGTCTCATGGGCGCCTCTTGGGGCCTCCAGGGGGCGTCTCGGGGCGGAAGGCTCGGATTTTGGGGTGTCCCCTCTTCTTGGGCCCGTTTACAGCCGTCTTGGAGCCCTCTAGGGCCGCCTCTAGGGCCGTCCTGGGGCCCTGTTGGGCCGCTTCTGGGCCCTCTTGGAAGTGGTCGTGGGGGCCTGCTGGGCCTTCTTCGAGCGTCGGAAACCCCAAAAGGCGAGAACGCAAAAGACCCTCAGACACTGTAGGAATATCAGCGAGTTTTGCCTCTTGGAGCCCTCGTGGGAAGCCTCGCCATCTTGGGCGTCTTGGAGCGATCTTTCGGCGACCCGGGGCCATCTTGGACGTCTTGGGACCACGTGGGGCCCTCTTGGCCCGTCTTGGGGCCCCCTGTTGGGCCCCATCAAGTCACTCGAGGAGACGCGGGGAGCCCAGAGGGTACGCGACAAGCCCCAGTAGATCTCGGAATCTGGGGTCTGGGCTGCTGAGGCTCGGTAGACTCCTCGGGATTGAGGACTGAGGCTCCAGGGGGTAGGCGAAGGACCTGTGGACACGCCCACGCCGTGCTCAGAGGCACGGTGGCGGATTTTCAACCCGTACCAGTACCAGCTGGACAAGTTCAAGGAGGACGCGAGGGCGTTGCGTGCGTTCTTCCTGGATGACGACGGCAGAAATTGGCTTACGTGGTACAGGAAAACCCAGTTGAAGTCGGGCCCGGGGCTCAACAGGACCCTGGTAGACATTGCTTTCTTCGGACTCGCCTTTATCATATCAGCTTGGTACGCGACCGTCACCTTAAAAATCGAGCTCTTGGTGTCCCTTTTTTCTGAGTACCACGGCCACGAGGCGTTGTACGCGACAGCACTTCTCCCCCCTGTCTTCGCTTCTTTGATGTTCTGCTTGTGCGCTGCGCTGCTGGGGACGTTCTGCAACTGCACCAGCAGCGTGGGGCGCGCCATTAAAGCTGAACATCCGGCGCCGACGTCTGGCGCAGCGTCGCCGGTTGTGGGTTCTCCAGCCATCGGGAAGCCACTGGAGGGCGGCGGGCCAGCCACTGCGCCGTCCCCATCGAGCGCGAAGGAGACGGCCAGCTGCCCCATCGTGCTGCCACTGTCCGTCACGGCGGTCCTCGTGGTCTGTATGGACGCCGCGGAGCTGCTCTTCGCGCTCAGGGACCTGCATTGGGTGGGCTGGACATGGAAGAAGAAAGCACTGCACAGTCATAGACTTTCGGAGCTCCGCGCGGATTTCTTGGATTGGCGGAGAAGCCCGCGTTGAGTTCCGAAGGTGTATGTTTATTCTGTGCTCTCTTCTCTAGGACAAACGCCTGGCTGGCAGGCGTGGTGCTCCAGCTCACCCTCCTGTCGGCGGCCATCGTCTTCCTCGAGGGCGTCGTGAGCTCCAAGGCCTTCGGGCGGATGAGCGGCTGGTCCGTCACGCTCGCCATGCCGCTGGAGACGTGGGTCTGTGCGCACCGCATGGCGAGGGACATCCTCACCTCCATGCTCATCTCGAAGAGGAAAAAGCTGCATCGACATATACTGTTGGAGCTCCGCGCAGATTCCTTGGATCTGAGCTGGGCCCCCCTGGCAGCGCCTCCAGCGCCGCCACTGGCGCGCTCCGCACGCTAGGAACGGGGGTCCAGCGCAGATCAAATAAATCCGCGCGGAGCTCTAAACATTGATTTCCGTGAACAGTGCTTGCACTTAGATTTCTTACTTGGTTTCTAAGGTAACTGAACCTGAGTGGCGGTCGAGCCGGCTCGTTGCCGCCCGTCGCTGCCCATCGCCGCCGCCGTCACCGCCAGAAATTGGGCCCGAGTGGCGGTCTGGCTGGCTCGTTGCCGTCCCTCGCCGCCCGCCGTTGCCGCCGTCGCCACTGGCAAGTGAGCGCCAGTGGCGGTCCGACTGGCTCGTCGCCGCCCGTCGCCGCCGTCGCCGCTGGATTATTTGACATTGCGTTCGCATTGCGTAGCATTGCGTTGCACCGCTTTGCGCCGCATTGCGTTGCGTTGCACTGGTTTGCATTGCTTTGTATTGCTGTGCCTTGCTCTGTTTTGCATTGTTATGCGTTGCTGAGCATTGCTTTGCACTGGTTTGCATTGCTGGGCATTGCGTTACACCGTTTTGCGCCACATTGCGTTGCTTTTGTTGGTTTGCACTGCCTTCCATGATTGTGCATTGCTTTGCATTGGTTTGCATTGTTATACGTTGCTGAGTATTGCTTTGTACTGTGTTGCATTGCTTGGCATTGCTTTGCACCGCTTTGCGCCGCATTGCGTTGCTTTGTTCTGGTTTGCATTGCTTTGCATTGCTGTGCCTTGCTTTGCTTTGTTGTGTGTTGCTGAGCATTGCGTTGCATTGCTTGTCTTTGTTCGGCGTTGCTTGGTATTGCTCGGCATTTTGTTTCATTGCTTTGCCTTGCGTTGCAATTTGTTGTATTGGTTCGCAGTTCATCACGTTGCTTTGTATTCCTTTGCACTGGTTGGCATTACTTTGCGTTGATTGGCATTGCTTGATATTGCTTGGTTCTGCTTGGCATGTATTGGCTTTGCTTGGCTTTGCGTGGCATTGCTTGGCATTGCTGGTTTTGCTTGGTGTTGCTTGGCATTGGTTTGCTTTGCATTGCTCTGCATTGCTCTGCATTACTTTGCATCGATTTGCATTGCATAGCTGTGCGTCGTGTTGCATTGCTTCGCGTTGCCGTGCATTGTTTTCGATTGCTACGCATTTCGCCACCAAGAGTTGTGCCACGTGGATGGCACAACATCCACTGCGCCATCTGGATAACACCCGCGTAGATTGCAAGACTCCGCTGTGTTGGGGCCCATGCTGGCTAGACTTGTGTTGCAGTTCTTTCTCCTTCTATGCTCTTCCTGCCGATGGGCATCTTCGTGGCGCTCAATTCGCTGAACGAGCTCCTGTGCCCCAGCTTCAACCTGCACCAGCTGTGCCTGTACCGCGACCCGGGCCACATGGCGCGCGACGAGCTCGAGGACCGGCCGGTCGGAGAGGTGTGACCGTGGCCGCGGGCTGGAGGAGGAGGACGAGGAGGAGGAGGAGGAGGAGGAGGAGGAGGAGGAGGAGGAGGGGGAGGAGGAGGAGGGGGAGGAGGAGGGGGAGGGAGGAGGAGGGGGAGGGAGGAGGGGGAGGGAGGAGGCGGAGGAGGAAGAGGAGGAGGCAGGGAGGAGTGTCCGAAGGTGAAGGTCCGCGCGGATCTCTTGGGCCGACGGTCGGCCTCCCTCCCCACACGGTTTTGGGGGCGCCTTCAGCGCGGCGCCCCCCGGCCCGCTCGGGGCAGGGGTGTGGTGGGAGAGGGTCGTGGCGGTCTCCCGGCCCAGCTGTTGAGCGGGTCGGCGTCGACCTCGTCCGAGGCCTTGCGCTATTTGGATTCTCCTCTCGCGCCCAAGCTGAGGAGTTAGGGCAGCGAGTCCTTGACCGGAGAAAGCGCGAGGTGGCGGATTTCTCGGACGAAGGCTAACCTGTTTGTTTTTGTTTTGATGCATGCTAATGCGATGACTTCGTTAGTCGGTGTGGTGCTCCTCCTCCTCCTCCTCCTCCTCCTCCTTCCTCTTCCCTCCTCCATGCCCGCCTCCTTCTGATCCCCCCCTCCTCCTCGGACCGTGTTCCTCCGCCTGGGAGGGGGGGAGCAGGGAACGGGGGGGGGGGGGGACGAATTTCTGCTACATGCGGCTGGTTTCAGCTCTGCCGCGGTTGCGCACCTCTGGCGCCGGGGTTACGTCCGGGAAGCCGGCCACGGGAGCTGATTCGATACCCCCCCCTGTGTCATCCCAACCATTCGTCCGACCTGAGGGGGGGGGAACCCAGCTCAGGCCCAAGAGACCTCCGCGCAGACCTGTAGAAATTTATCTCTCTTGTTGATTGTTCCATCTCCGCTTGGGCCGCCTTCTGCAACTAGATAGGGCCCGCTTTTTGCGGAAGCCCCCCTGCTGAATACGTGGGTGTTGCGCGCGAGGGTCTCAGCGCATCGGTTTCCCTACGCTCTGTAGCGAGCCTGACAGCCTTCCAGGGGCTGAGGCCCGGGTGACCCCCGCATCGCTGCTTGCGCGTTCGCATCTGTATTCTTAGACTCTGTCAGGACCCCTCAAGGCCGTCTTGGACGTCCAACAGCCTACCTCCCCCCCCCAGGGATCCGACGCCGTGAAGAAAAGCAAAAAACCGTCGCGACAAAGATCTCGACCAGAGCTCTCGACCCATCCCTGGGAGAGAATCCTTGAGGCAGATGTCCCCTCCACGCTCCCCATCTTCTCTCCGTTTTTCCCTACCTCGTCATCCTTCCTACCTCGTCATCCTAACAAAAACACACAACCATCTCCCTCTGTGCCTGGCTCCTCTCTCCTCCCGCCCTCGCTCCTCCACGAAGGGTCGTCGTACCACCGCGCGTATCAAGTTCAAGTTGTGAAGGCAGCCGGTAGCTCTTCCATATGGCGCTATCACGAACCCTTGCCAGTATCGCCATCCCCTCGCCAGGTGGGAGCGAGCTACAGTCCCCAAATCCAGTTGTGCCACACTTGATTGCAGCGCGAACTTGATTATACACTCCCACCCTGCCACCCAGCAAGCCCATAGCCGCCCCTTCTGGGGGGGGGCATCCTGCCCTTCACAACATGGAGGCACGATGCAGGCCAGCTTGAGCCATCTTGGACCACTGATGCACCTCAGCGGCGGCAAGCTTCTGGGGCACCTCGGCGCCGCGCTGGTCCACCAAACGCTGCTCGAGGATCTCCCGCCCGAGAGGCACGCACCCTTCAAGCACACATACCTCCTCCTCCTGCTGCTGCTGCTCCTCCTCCTCCTCCTCCTCCTTCTCCTCCTACTCCTCCTCCTCCCCCTATACTGTCGCCGCTCCGTCTGTTTCGTCGCGCGGCCTTTCGGTCTCGGGGAGGGCGCCGCGGCCACCAGGGCAGACGCCTTCTCGGACGCGGAAGGGCTCGCCGTGGCCTTGCCGCGCGGTGCACGCGTCGCCTCTTTGGGCTCGGGGCACGGGCTTGCCGTGGGTTCCCCGTGGTGTCGGCACGGGCCATTTCGGGCGCGCCGACGACAAACGACGCGGCGACAGCTTTATTTTCTTTACAGTCAACCCGCAGAAAAAGGGTGGGCAGCCTTCCCGAGGGTACCCTTGCATCCTTGCCTCCTCGGTCCAGCCTTGCCCAATTTAGCTGGCCGCGCCCCGCTCGAGAAGCTTCAACATGGGCCTCCAAGGCCCTTGCGTCCTTATCGCGCATCCTTATGACACGGGCCGACTGTATCATGCTGTCTGTGAGGGGGAGGGGCAAGCCCTTCTCGGAGGGCGGCGGAGCCTCGCAGCTAAGACCCCGTCGGCACGCTGCGAAGCCCCCCGTGTGGCCTTCGGGGGGAAGCTCGGGCCTCTCAGAGGGCCCCAGGGGACATTTGAGCCTTCTGAGAGGGCCCGCCCTCCCTTGGCGCGCCGCCAGACAAAAATGGGCGGCACTCGAAGAAGAAAAAACTGCATGATGCTGCATAACCATAAAGTTGTGGCGCTCCGCGCGGATTTCTTGGATCCGCGCTGGGCCCACCTGGCGGCGCCGCTGGCGCCGTCCCTGGCGCCGCCCTTGGCGCGCTCCGCGCGCCAGGGAGGGGGGGTCCAGCGCGGATCCAAGAAATCCGCGCGGAGTGCCAAAAGTTTATGGTCATGCATTTATTATTTTTCTTGGCATTGATTTACTTCGCCCCGTCTGGGCCCGAAACATATGATCTTGGAGCCTTCTTGGGTCGTTTCTCGAGACCTTCTGGCATCTTGTGGGGGCTACAATGTGTTGGGCGATCCTGACGTCTGCTTGAGGCCTCGCAAGCCCATCGGAAGCGAAACGGCGGTTGGGCAACATCCGGTGTCTGAAGAGTTGTGGCCTCTCGGGGCTTGTTGGAGGCATGCTGGAGGATATCTGGAGACACCTGTGGCTCTTCTGTGCCATCTCGGCCGCAATCTTCGGCGCGGCGGCGGCGACGACGACGACAGAGGCGGCGACGACAGCGACGAAGACGACGACGGGGTAACGGCGAGGGCGGCGGCATCCCCCAAAGGCCTGCGAAGGCTTCGCGGGCCCCAGGCCCCCCCGGAGGCTCCTCGTTGGCCGAGAGGCCCAGGAGGAGCAGGAGCAGAGGCGCCCAAACGCCTCTCCTCCTCCTCCTCCTCCTCCTCCTCCTCCTCCTCCTCCTCCTCCTCCTCCCGATCCTCGGACTGGCGGCGGCGCCGGCCGCCTGGAGGTGGCGGCGGCCCAGCGCCCGGACGACAGACGGGCCCAAGACGCCCGAGCGTCAAAAGGGCAGGACCCACAGCTTCCAAGCGCCAACGCCGAAAGACCCGCGGCGGCAGCCGCGATAACGACGATGGCGACGACGACGACGACGGCGGCGACG